AAATTCTACAGTGGCACTAAGTGGAGTAGAGTGTAGAATTTGCTTTATTTCCTTTTATACTAAATAAATTGGTATCTAAAGTATTTAAATCTGTGCTTATGTCCATTTAGAACAAAAAGTCACTTGGGCCCCTTTTATTCTAAGCTCCTCAATTAATTGATTTATTTGTTTTATACCTTATTTTACTTATTACATATTGGCAAAAACTAGTCCATTATCAAGATATTCTAAGCGTTTATATGGGTTATTTATTTATTGATGTACGTCTTACAACGCCATAAGTAGTAATAACACGTAAGAGGGTGCTATTAATGCATAAACTAATAATCACAGAATTTAATAAAAACTAACTTTGAAAGTGGTATAATGTGCTTATCAATCAAACTTACTTCTCTGACTCCAGTCAAGGGTAATAAAGGACCTTTATTATCACGTTCTCGTTAAAACTGTTTATCATAGAAGCTACAAGCTCTTGTTTCGACTGTTTAAATCATAGAGTTAAAGTTTAAATGCTTCGGCATATTTTCAACACACAATTTCAAGAAATGCAATACAAAAACTCGAAAATTTAGTTCTTAAAAGAACTGTTTGTGCTTAAAAGTGCATTTAAAAAAAAAACTACGAAAATAAGCAAAAAACGAGAATGGCTCACAAAGATTCAATAACAACACGATAAACCTCTGATTATACAAAATAATGACTGACATTAAGATAATAATTGTCAAATAATAAAGGACAACATTGCTGAACACGACTCAATGTGACCAACATAGCGATAAAAAAATTTGGTTTAAACTAATTTTTGCAGCTTTAATCTAAATAAAATATCTGTTACAATCATTTGCTCTATAAAGTAAAATGAAGAGCTGCTCGGTATCTTAAATTATACAACAAATTTAAACATTTTTGCCAATATTTTATTTAGTCAGGTTTATAGACTTTAATGTCAATTACAGTTGAGGGTTGAAACCTTTGGTGTTACACAGCAAAATAAAAACACTAAATCACCACAATACACCAAAACACTTTTACTTTTACACCGGACGCGCGTTTCGCTAACCATGTTAGCATCATCAGCAGATGATTATAAACTCGTCAAGTTTATAATTAAAGTAAAAGTGTTTTGGTGTATTGTGATGATTTAGTGGTTTTATTTTAATGTCAATGTCGATATGATTGATGACGTGCATCGGAAAATGTTTTGCGATTACAAGTAGTCAATACATGTCATTATTGACAAAAAATAAAAATGTTGGGTAGATAGTTTTGGGAAATTTGGGAATGTTTTGTTTACTTAAATTAATCACAAATTTTTCTTTGAAAAAAAGTTTCAGTTTGTGTTGAATTTTTGGCACAAAAACATTTCAAATTTGTGTTTTCAGTCTAATAACTATTTAATCAACATGCTTAATTTATGTCAATGGTGATGGTGACAGGTATTGAAAATTTCGATTCAAAATATCTCGAGAACCATTACTCGTAGCGATGTTTACCTTTTGTCGTAAAAATGTCCTTTTTGACATAAAAATATAGTTTTTATACAGATACGGACGAAAAGTTATTACTCTTCAAACCAGTTAAAAATATGTAGGTTGTGCCCCTATCAGCAGAAGTGATATTGACATTGAAATCAAATTTCCCATGTCAAAAAACTCCGATTTTCACTCAAATACCGATATTAGATCAGAAATTATTTTTCGAAACATCTAAATAAAAATGAAACTTCTACACCCTGTATCTCCGAAACGTAGCCATTTTAGGAAATAAATTTATACGAACTTTTACTTATTTATATAGTCTGTGAAACGAATAACTTTGAATTTGACAGTTCCCGCGGGCTTTTCTAGTGTAAATTTTATTAGGATAGTAACTTGCGGCCATGCTGATGCAATGCCGTCTCTAATAGAACAGCCTCTGAGCGAGATGTATGACGTCACCCTAGTTAGAGGTTGTAGAATACACGGAAAACATATTTATTATTCCTCGTATATGTAATTTTTTGGATTATATTCGACACTATTTTTTTCATATGACACAACACTGATGAAGGCTATAAACGTTTATTTTTTTATTTATTTTATATATTTTAGGCTATAACGTTTTTTTTAAACCAAAAAAAATAATGAAAAACCAAATGAAAATTTAATCAGTGCTTTTCCCGAACCTAAATCCCAAGAAAATCAAAAATTTTAGAATAATTTTACATATAAAATGACAGCGATCTTTATTTCATAGCCATCGCTGACGCCTTTTTGTCTAGGATATTGTATTATTTGCAAATATAATTTTTCGAACCTTAATGCTTGCAAAATATACATATAAATTTTGTGAATGCAAATAATAATACATCACAATTAGTAGATATTGAATGTTTTTTATTAAATTAGATCGATTTTCAAACCCCAAAATCTAAAATATATTTTACATTTTACCCATTATCTTATCTACCTATTCATTATTTGTAGGTATATTGTAAAATATTTGCTGCATTTGTATGGTTCATAGTTTATTTGCCTAAGTATTTATTACTATAAATAGGTATATATATTGTATTTATTAACTGTATATTATGTATATTTCATGTAAACTATATCAGTTTTAAAGTACAAACCAAAAATACGAGGAATAATTATGTTTTCCATGTATTCTACAACATATTTATTAATCCGTGGTATCTAACCAGCGTGACGTCATAAATCTCGCTCCGAGGCTGTTCTATTAGAGACGGCATTGGTCTGATATTTAGAAATGTGAAAGGCTGATGACATTTTACTTTTGTCAATTATGACATTTCGCATAAGTTTCGCATTGAACTGTAACTTGTTTTGTTATTTTCTTTTTCTATTTCACGAAAGTAAAAAGAGTTACCTATCTGATTCGCTCCGGCACTCATTTTAAAGAATATCAGTAACTTTTTGGATAGAGGGATTTTATATTTGCCATGTTGGTAAAAAATAACGGTCAAAATTCAAAGTTATTCATTTTATAGACTATATACAGGGTGGCGCAACTCATTCGCCTCGGTTGATTATACGAAACCGGAAAGATGTAGAAACAAAATATTTTATGAGTATATGTGGGAAGGCAATGTGGCATAATTTAAAATTATTTTGAAATGTACAGGGTGTGTCAGAACTAAGATCTATACTAAAGTTATATATTTTTTCTTATGGATCACCCGGTATTTCATTTCATTTTTGGATTCCTGGGCATAAAATAAGGCATTTATTATAAGGGTTTAATATGTCTAAAAGCTTTGGTTTTTGAGATATTTAAAGATATTTAAATATGCATGGTATAAATTACCATATGCCTTGTACATTACTTTTCAGAATTAATTCTTGTGCTGACTTTCAAGCCAGAGAAATAAACTTTACAAAAAAAAATGATTGCTTCCTTAAATGTATACAGGGGTACCAAAAATTGCTGGTTAATTTTAGATATTTATTTTACATAAAAACTTCGTTATTTCAAATGCAACACCCTCTATTTTTTAAAATAAATCTAAGCAGATTTAAATGCTCTTTCAAACTATATTAGGGTTTTCTATACCTATCTGGCTCAGATTTTGATTAAAAAGCATTTTTTTAATAAAATTGTACTCAAGATGGCTGTTGTCGCCATGGCAATTTTCTAGTGACATTTAGTATCTATATATTTTCAAAATCGACTTTAGTTTTGGACCTTATTTACATTTATAACAGGTTATTTTTATTTAATTTACCTAAAATAAGGTTAATACGAGGGTTAATAAGTAATTATTTATTATTTTATCAAGAAAAATAAAGGAGTATATTTGCTGGCAGAAGAAATGGATATGTTACTAGTGCTTTTGTGAGGCTTGTTGGCATGAAGGGTTTATGCTCAAAGATATCCGAATAGGAATTTTCTTGACAAGTGTTCCTTTGTAAAATTACTTCTCCTATTTCGCAGAGCTGATATGTATATGAAAAACCTATTAGGCAGAAACCTGTCGTTGGAAGTGAAGAAAATGAATTTGCCTTAATTGGTTCTTTTAGAGAAAATCCATTATGTAATTATTTTCATTTACCATTAATTATAAGTCATCGTAATATAAATCAAAGCCTTCTTCATTTTTCTTGATAAAATTATAAATACTTACTTATTAAACTATGGTAGGTAAATTAAATAAAAGAAAACTGTTATAAATTTAAATAATGTCAATAAACTAATGTCGATTTTTGAAAATAGCTACTAACTGTTACTAGCAAATTGCCATGGCGACACCAGCCATCTTGATTGCCATTTTATTGAAAAATCGCTTTTTATTCAAAATCTGAGCCAGATAGGTATAGGAAACCCTAGTATAGTTTGAAAGAGCAATTAAATCTGCTTCGACTTATTTTAGTGTTGAATTTAAAATAACGAAGTTTTTATGTAAAATAAATATTTAAAACAGACCAGCAATTTTTGATACCCCTGTATACATTTAAGAAAGTAATACATTTTTTTAGTAAAGTTTATTTCTCTGGCTTCAAAGTCAGCACAAGAATTAACTTTAAAAAGTAATGTACAGGGTGTTGACATTTTTTTTTTATTAAAGCATGCATATTTAAATATCTTTAAATATCTCAAAACCCAAAGCATTTAAACATATTAAACCCTTATAATGAATGCCTTATTTTATGCCCAACAATCAAAAAACGATATAAAATACCGGGTATTCCATAAGAAAAAATATAACTTTGGTATGGATCTTAGTTCTGAGTTCTGACACACCCTGTACATTTGAAAATAATTTTAAATTATGCACATTATTCCTCTACATATACCCATAAAAATTTTTGTTTCTACATCTTTCCGTTTTCGTATAATCAACCGAGGCGAATGAGGTGCGCCACCCTGTATACTTTGATATATTTTTTACTTATTTCTACCAGCAGAATATTGCCGAAGTTTCCCGAATAAAATTCGGACCACCCTGTATATCTAATATTATTAAACACACTCGATTTTTTGAATTTATTTTTTTGTTTCAGATGCGGGGTTGGTTTGTCCGTCAACGACCCTGTTCGCTGTTAGGATGCGGTCGGTAAGAGTGAACCCCCCGATGGGTAATGCCAGTGCGCTCCGCCTGCATCATCGGAAATAATGTAATATCCAGGAGCAGCGTAGCCGGGCGAAAGACCGCAGCCAGAATGGGCTGTGGCCACAGCAAAATCAACATTTACCCGAGGAAGTCGAAAACAAAGCAGAGTTCGTCGAAAAAGTCCGGTAAAGTACACCTCGGTACACAAAAGTCGCCTAGAATTCTAAGGCGCTCCCTTAATGAAGTCGTGCTAAACTTAATGAAAGCGTGTTGAATAGGAAGGAAAACAGAGAAAATAACATTAAAAAGTGTACAAAAAAATAATTTACGAAATGGCATATCAGAGTGTTCTAAACTCTAGACTGACTAAACTCAGGAACCATAATAGATACCAAGAAGGTGACCAATAAATTCAGTTTTACAAATACAGGGTTCGGCATAGTGCGTCAGGCATGTATCTCCTGGAATAAAAAACTTGAGAATTTTTTTCAGTGCAAACCTAAAGTATGTACGAGGATGTATTTCAGGAAAATATTTTAACTTTTATAGGGTGGCTCAAAATAGTTTGAGTGAATCGGGATGATTTTTTTTAATGGAACGCCCTGTATATTATTGCATTTTTGGCTTCCTTTCAGGTCACTTTACATAATTCTAAGATATGAGTAAATATATTTCGATCATTTTAGAGATATTAATAAATAAATATTTTTTTTTTAACCTTCCTTAAGAAAATTATTACAAATACAAGAACTGTTCTGAAATCAAAACTATAGGTTTGTTCCAACCCGCCGCAGAACCGTCACCGAACGATCACGCTCGTGCGCAGTAATTCAAATGTGCTCCAACCGAGATTTGACGGTTATCGGACGATCCTATTTGCGTACCAACCTACCTTGGGATCGTTTAGTTACGATTTCAGAACGGTAATTTCGGTACATGGTCCAAATTGAGAACTGTTTGGGTTGAGGTGCGCATTAAAGCATATTGGCAAGGATTGCTGATGCTTCTGTCTTGGTTATTTTTTGCGAATTCGAATACGTGTGCGTTATACTTTTGCTTGTGAGTTTGTGTGGAGTAAATCGTTCGGAAATTTTAATTAATTTTTTATTTATAGAATAATGTTCAAAGATTCTACCACTGCAATGAAATAACAGGAAACTACGCATAACCGGGTCATAAAAGAGAGGATAGGTAAGTGAGTTAGTGAGTATGCAGTTGAAACAACACTTACCAACAATTACTGGATTCTGATTCTCCATTTCAAGAATAATAATTATTATTATTGCCAATTGCAAACAAAAATAATAGGGTTATGTTATGAAATTCTAAACAAAAAGAAAAAACCGATCGATACACGCACGCTTCACACTTTTGACAGTGCCGAAAACAATCCAAAAAACGTTCCAACGTTGATACTTTTTGCACCGTCACTAAACTATTCAAAGTCCGCGCATGCTAACAAAGTACAAGAAAACCGATTCGAGTACGATTTCAAAACGATCCCGAAATGCTGGTTGGAACAAACCTTATATTAGGTATTTACTTCAGATTGTCTATACTTACTTTGCTATAAATATCTGTGAGTTAAATATGGAGAGTTAAAAAATGAACATTTTTTGTATTTAAAGTATTTCAACATTTTTAATGGTATTGCAGATACAGACAATATTATTTCTTATGGCTCTTTCAACGGTAAAATACGAGAGAAAAATCATTGGATGGCTTGGATAAAAATTTACTATAGAAAATGATTATGAAATATAAAACCGCAAATATCTGCGAAACCGTTAAACAGTTTGAAAAAACACTATATACAAAAAAATTTAAACAAAATTCACATTTTTTTTATTCTGGGAGCTACAGATGCCCGACGCACGATTGCCGGTCCCTGTATATAATAATATAGCTGTATATTTTTTATTCAATGAATTTTTGCATGATATACCCGTTCCAAAAAAAGTATGTATATATGTATGTAATGCCATAATCTATAAGCTTGGTGCAATCTCCGTGAATGCCGCCACCATCGAAGAATCCCGTAAATCGTATAAAAATACACGAAAAATTTGTTTTAATTGGAATTTGTGAATTCTAAAAAAAATATTAAAAAATTTAAATCTTTTGATATCTTAGAAATATTAACATAGAAATGGTTATATTTTAAAAACCACTCTAATAAAAACGACAATCTAGTAAGCTAAAAAATATACAGCTTTTTGGAACACTGGACCACCCTGTATATACCATACACAAGGCATTGTTTAAGTTAAAATACAGTCAACAAAAATAGAATATAAAAAAATTCAACTTGTAGCTTCAGGAAAAAATATTCACGAAAATGTTTGTGAACTCCAATTAAAATTTGACTTTTAATGAAGTAAAGTAAAATCGGAACGAGTATCCACATACGAAGCTAAAGAATTGTTGGAACTAAATGATCGTGAAATTCAGAACAATCGCGCATTGTTAGGTTGACGTCGCCTGATTTTGACATTTCACAATAAAATGCGCGTTTAATAATGAAAATGATCTGGTATATGTGAGTTATTATAAGTAAAAAGGGATTTATATAAAACTGACTTTTAAAAAAAAGCATATCGTCATATTATGTTTTTTTTTCTTTCTAATTTATACTTTTTTCTTTCTAATTTATACAATTTAATTAAGTGCGACGCGGAGTCTCTAACCGTTGTGTCAGTTATATATAATCCTCCGAATACTAAGGTTGTATTCCGTTGCAAAACCAGGCGAACCAGACCGGTAAACTACGGTAAAGAGCGGTTCCTGAAAAACATCGGTTTGGTAAAATACTAGAAACGTCAAATGTTGACGTTTTCTAAATTTCAATACCTCTATTATAAAATTTATCTTTTATGCATTTTTAATGTCTGCTTTTACGTTTGCTTCTTCTTTTCAATGGAGTTTAATATTGAAGTACTTTATTAATAAACTGTTAAACTCGTTAGACAGCTCAAGTAAAATTTGCAGGTCCAATATTAAAACAGATCAATAATAAATAAACAAATCTAATCAATATTTATATTTTTATAGCTTACAAGACATTCAAGATTACTTGTTGTCTTGTTTTTCATGTTTTCTTTAAATGTTCCTGACTTTATCGAACATTTGTGCGATGAACTTAAAAGAGCTGTTCATCGTCATCCTATTCCACCACAAACTTTACAAGAGCTATGACATAATGGAGATTCCTCCGTTAATGCTACCCTTAGCTGTTGAAAAGGGTTTTCTTGATCTATAGCTTGATATTCATCAAGCTACAGGTGAAGAAAGAATAACTACATTATTCATTCGGTAAGATGAAGACCTCGAGCTGTTATTGCTGCGAGAGGTGGACATACACGCTATTAAAATTATTATAAAATTATTGTTTTTGTTAATAAATCAATCTCTGAAATCAACACCTTACTTAAAAATGATCATGAAAGAAGAGAGATAATGAGATACTTCAAAAAATGAAATGTTAGGAATACATCTAAGATTACAGGGGAGTGTTTTTTATCTAAAATGCCCGCCTCATTTTTTCCACAGGATGTTTTGAATTTATTGCAAAAAACAACGTTTTGATACCCCGGTATAAACCCGCCTAACAGAAGAATATAAGCCATTAAAATAATAAAAAATAAGGCCAATAAATTTATCTTCACACTGATACCACCTGATACCATAATCTTCAAAATCGGATTACAAAATAAAAAGTTATGTTCTCTATGGGTATCTCGGAAACTACTGGAGATAGAGAGTCGGTTAAATATGTATTGCAGTTTGTGGGGTCATAAATATGCGCCTTTCAGATTTTTGAAAAATTTCATGGTTTACTAGATATTTCGAAAAAATCAAATTTCGGCTATTTTAAAAATTGTCTCTAATTCCATTATAATCTATTTTAGCCAAAAAGTTTTCAGATAAAAGTTGTAGATAATCACATCCTTAATGAGATTGTGTCCTCCGTTTTTTTCTAAAGTCTGTCATTTTTGACATATGAGACAAACATATGTTTTTTTTAAATGAAAACCATAGTTTGCCATGACTTCATAAAAAGCGCCATTTTTTAAGCTTTTTAGCGATATAAGCTATAAGCGCTCAATCGTCGTTGCTCTCAGAAATGTGAAACTGTCACATCTAAAGTTTGTATCATAAAATAAACAAAAATTGTAAATATGAATTTTGCAAATGAAGAAAAGCGTGTAGGATTGTTGGTTAAACTTTTCTTGGCCATACATTTTCGAGGATACGTTGACCAGTGAACATTACTTACGTTTTTAAGAGAATGGTTTTCAAGACATGTTAGAAAAGTTAAATTTATACTCGCGCATCAATAGACTGGTTCCAGCATGACTTTCATTATGACACCCCCCCCTCCCGCCATAATGACAGAACTGTTAACAAAATTATTTATATCATAATTATGCAATCTCAGGGATAGGAAGAGGTAGACCAATTGCATGGGTTTCCTCGACCACCTGACCTATCCATTTTAAATTTTTTTAAGCGGTATGGTTAACAAGGTTTACAAGAGCTTATCAATTAAGAGAGTCACTCGAAGAGACGGTACGGGAGAAGTTAATTTAAGTCGACCGGTCGTTCTGTGAGAATAGGTAGTAATTCAGTTTTAAAAAGTTGCATTTATATACCCAAAACAATGGCGGATTTTTTGAACATTTTCTAAAATAACTTAAAGTGTATACAGTGATATTATTTTTTTAAATTTTAGTTTATGTAATGTAAATTGTAAAGAACCGTTTAATAACATATTCTGTCTTTTTATAAGTTATAAATCATAACAAAATAAGAATACCATGCCAACTAAGTGAAATTAGGCAAGAAACATAAGAATTGGCTATAACTCAGTAATTATTAAAAAAAAACATATTATAGCTTATATCGCTGAAAAGCTAGGCAGGCGGCCACTGCGAGCGTAACTAAACTAAGCTAAGGATATAAAAACAAACGGTAACTAAACGAAAATAAGTTTCATCGGCCATTGGGAACGATTTTCGCTCAGTAGTTAGCTACGTTTTCGTATTGTATCTCTGCTGTCATAGAACTAATCGCTGCGAAAAATTCGGTGGAACCTGTCACGAACTAAAACGAGCGAAACTAAACTACGATTTGAATCTTCGTTCATATATTTTCGTTTAGTTTCGCTCAAGTGGCCGCTGATGCATTTAAAGGCGGGCGGCCACTGCGAGCGAAACTAAACTAAGCGAAGATAAGATTTGTAAAAATCAGCTTCAATACTTTTTAATGCGACAGCGGCTACTTGAGCGAAACAAAACGAAAATATATGAACGAAGATTCGAATCGTAGTTTAGTTCCGCTCGTTTTAGTTCGTGACAGGTTTCAGCGAATTTTTCGCAGCGATTAGTTCTATGATAGCAGAAATACAATACGAAAACTTAGCTGACTACTGAGCGAAAATCGTTCCTAATGGAGTTCCCATTTAATTACCGTTTGTTTTCATATTCTTAGCTGAGTTTGTTACGCTCGCAGTGGCCGCTCGCCTTTAAAAGTATGGGAACTGATTTTTACAAATCTTATCTTCGCTTGGCTTAGTTTAGTTTCGCTCGCAGTGGCCGCCCGCCTTAAAAACATGGCGCTTTTTATGAAGTCATGGCCAACTATGGTTTCCATTTAAAAAAAACATATGTTTGTGTAATATGTCAAAAATGACAGGCTTTAGAAAAAATCGGAGAACAAAAACTCATTAGAGATGTAATTATCTACAACTTTTATCTGAAAACTTTTTATCTAAAATAGATTATAATGGAATTAGAGACAATTTTTAAAATAGCCAAAATTTGTTTTTTTCGAAATATCTAGTAAGCCATGAACTTTTTCAAAAATCTAAAAGGTGCATATTTATGACCTCACAAAACTGCAATTCTTTCCCCATTTAACCGACTCTCTATCTCCAGTAGTTTCCGAGATACCCATAGAGAACATCGTAGGAAACTCACCCTGTATAATGAACAAAAAAAATATTAACGGTAAACCAACGTTCTAGTGACTCCGGAGAAGGCCGAATCTGAAGAAGAAGACGGCATAGAAAATGAGCCCGAGTACAATAAAGAAAATCTAGAAGACTGCGATGCGAAGAAAACAATTAAAATCAAACCTTTCGGTGGGCCATTATTAGCACAAACGTAAGTTTCAGTTTCTCAAAGTTCTTTGAAACTTCATTAAACTTTTTTTTAACTATTTTACAAAGTCGATTTTTATCCAATTTCAGGGAGATCTCCACTAGTCAACAGGATTTTTTCAAAATGTTAGACGAAAAAATAGAGAATGTGAGTAGAAACATTGAATTCATTTATTTTAAAAGTATTTATGTTTTTTTTAAATCGTGATTAATTTATTTGGACACCTTAAAATTTTTATGCTTTTTAGATTTCAATAAATTTTGTTGTAGTGGGTCGACTTGGATGATATTTTGAGCAGTTTGTAGCTACATTATATGACTTTGAAGAATACACTAGTCTGTGTTTTCATTTAAGGACTCACGGTATCCGTAACAATGACATTATGACGTTTCAATGACAGTGACATTATAAAAACCATAAACACTATTTTATAAATGTGTTGATGTTGATAAGGACTAAAGGCAAAGGCATGCTTCTAATTCTAAAATTGTTGTAATTTGTTACTGTCTTCTTCAAATGACTATCTCCAAAAGAAATAAAGCTATTGACTTGAATAAAAAAATCAACTATCTAGAAGAGATACACCCAAATGGTCTTTCAAATCCTTACTTTGCCACAGTGCCATTCCACAGGGGGTTTCAAACATTCGCCAAAATAGCAATATTTTGTTTTCCTTCGTAACGTGAACTTTGACTATTAATTTGAAAACAGGATACAAAACTCAAATAATTTATCTACAAATTGTTAAGAAAATCGGCACACTAAAACAAAATTACATAAAAATTTTGAGGTGTTTGTGTTTCCTGCCGGTCAATGTATTTTGTCTTACGTATTTGGCAGGGTCCTGACTACAATTCGGAGTCAGAAAATGAAAAAATGGCGGAAAGAATGCGTTTGCGTGACTTGTTGAAGGAATGGGAAACGGCATCAACTACATCGGGATCCCAAAGTGGCACGCCGAAGAGATCGCCCGCTAGAAGAGGTCCCAGTAGAAAAGGAGAAGCGGTAGTTCCCCAGGGACTAGAAGGAACGCGATTGGTCAATGATGGCAAAGGATATATCGTACAGGTACTGCAAAACATCTTTTGAAATCGTTTTAAATTTTCTGTAAATGTCACCTTAATAAGTTTAGAATCTGTAGATACCAATTTCCCAGTATCTCATTTTTCTTGCGCAGAGTTAGCATTTTATTTTTTCCACTTTTTTTATTTCAATAATTTATTAACTAAACTATATACAAGCGATACAAATTAAATTTGTACGTATTAATTAAACATTCAATATATACTAAGGGCTGGCAAAAGTTAGTCTTGGGTCGAGATTTCCGTAAGTAAGAAGAGTACAATGCGTTTATAATGTACTGAACAAAGAGAGAACTGTAAACACGTTGCCAAACGTATGAAATAAACCGAGCGTGTACTAAACTAACTGTGCACATCGCTAGAGACGTGGATGGGGATATAGCAGATTTGTCGCAGTTGCCGGTCGACCCAAATAATACCTCTGTCAGTGTCAGTACTTAAAGTTCTAGAGAAAGGTTTACGTCATGCGTTCAGCTTCACGATTTAATTACGTCTCGTGATACTTAATTTGTTTATTTATTAACGAGTCGTTGTAATTTTCCCTATAGCTTGATTTTTTTTAAGTGCAAGCTAGAAACACTTGCATTTTTGGTAAAAATAAGTGGAATTGAGTGGGTGTTCGATACTAGTCGCGCTATTAACTCTGAATTCAAAAATCGATATCTCGAAATCTATTAGAAATAATAGATTGTAGATTTTTCAAGAACTTTGTTAATATTTCTGCTGTATTTTCTTTGTAGACAGTATGTGAAAATCTTTATCAATAAAAAAATTACACGATTGCTGAAAATTGCTCTGCTCTAAAAGTAAATGGATGGATTGTTTACAATTTTTGAATGGAAAAAACAACCTTATCGAATTTTTCTTATGCAAACATATTGTAAAATATCCGATCTTGAAAATAAAAAAAAGTTTCAATATCTCAAGTGGTTCTTGAGTTATGGCCTGTTATGTGTTACAAAGTTGAGTTTTAAAATTATCGCGATTACTGACGTTTTCTCGTTATAAAAAAAATTACACCTTAACGATATCCTTATAATTCCATTTCAGATGCTCAGAAACATGTCTAATGATTTTATCTAGTTATCTCTTGAAAAAAAAATCTTTTAAAAATAAGCGGTTTGCGATCGTGATTTTACTTTACTTGATAGGGAAAGGCATGTCGGCAACGCCGCAACAGCAAACCGTCGCGTCGGTCGGTCGCATTTCTCTCACTCCGACTTAATAAGATTTCTATGCGATTTACTTCCACACATGTAAATGCCGACCCAAAAGTAACAGTTGCCAGCACGATATTGTATATTGTAAATACGTATTGTATGGTATGGTATTATATTTTTTAGTTTTAAGAGGGCATAATTATTATTGTTCTTGTGTTTTCTTTTAACTAACAGATTTTAACTTATTTAATAATAATTGATCTCGAACATTCATTAAAAACAATTTAGTGTTTTAGTCAAGTTTTAATATGGTATATTTCAAAAAATGACTGGGGCTGAAATGAATGAGGCTGTCAAAAATTTTACATTTAAAATTTTTCAATTTTAGAGCAACAAACTGTCTATCCATGAAGTCATTTAGCCTAAAAGTCAAAATTAATATATATGATCACTTGAAAAATTGTAGTTTTCAAAATGTACGAAGAACATGTAATATCAGAAAATCAAAATAATGTTTATCTATGACTATATTACTTTTAACCACTATTGATTATCTTTAAACGCAACAGTTATAACTTACTCCTAAGTAAATCGTTAAAATAATTACAGTATAGCTTTTGTAGCTTTAAATACAATATACCTAATGTTAATGGTAAGCTTTATAGGAAAAAACGTAGCGACATGAAACTATAGCATGCGATAAGATAATAATATAATTAATCATTCTGAAAAATTAGATACCTGTAAATATATTCATACATATTTAATTATAGGTACGTATCAACCAAACAGACTGATTAAAACTTTTATTAAGTTTTCAGTGCGTGATGTATTATTAGGCAAAATAAATGAAATCATACTCATAAAATATAAAAAAACAATTATTATGAATTTAATAAAGAAATTCAACTATTATAAAAAATGATTAATAGTAAAAGTATAACATTTATTATAATATTGTATAATTATAATTTAATTATAATATTACTTTTAGAAACTTTTGTAAAAAGCCACTAGGATTAGACTTCACGGACTTCAAACTTGTAGTGTCTCTTTACTAGTACATCTTTGAATAAAAAGACTAAGGAAGGAGCATATCAAAAATCTTAGGTACACCGCGATGGGCCTCAAATATGGCCGAGTTAAATTCCGGTTTATCAGTGTCGTTCTAATTTTATTTAAAAAATGTAAAACTATGATGTAGGGTAGACGTGGGGTAGACTCAATAATTTGTTGTTTTATTTTACGTTGTGAATAAATGTTGGTAGTTATTAAAATTGTTAGAAAAATATATAATTCTAATAAAAATAGATAAGTTATAATAAGTATTTATTAACACAAACATCCGATACGCTACTGAAGCAGGTAAGTCAAATTAACGTATCTAAATTCTTTGACATCTAATCTTTGACAAGTAATAAATAAAAGCTAAAATGCAAGAAAAATATATAATTTAGTTAACTTAAGTGAATTTCATAAATGATCGGTTTACTACACGTATGTATATTATATTATAGTCACTTACTAGCGAAAAGTTGTTCCATTATTTCACTCAATTTTTGCCGAGATCTACCGCACGCTACACAACCAACTATTTTAGAATCTTTTTCGATAAATTGCGATAGTGTCACTGTTAATTTAAGTTCTGCCACAATTTCCATCTAGATTTACTACCTTTATACAACTATCAGTAGTAGAATAAATAATAAATAACATAAAATAAGCTCCGTAAAGACTGAAAAATCCACAAAATTTCAAATCAAATTCAAATGTGTCAAATGAATCGTCAAACAGAACTGTCAAGGATCCCCACCCTAGAGTGCTTTTATGGTGGTTTTTCCGCCCACCATGCATGAATACATGGATAGCATTATGCTCCTTCCTTAGTCTTCTTATTCAAAGTAGTACATGGATATTGCCGAATATTATCTTTACTAATACAATTTACCTAACCAATAAAAGCATAAGGCAGGGGATATGTATTAACCCATCTTCGAAAGCTGTAAAGAACAAAAACTATTTGAGACATGTACTACATATTATAACGAACACTCTTTAACTCACTTTTCACACATACTTATGTGAAAATGAGATATTCTAAAATTAAGTAAAATTTCCCATAATGGTGTAAAATGTTATTTTTATAGACGCATTGTTAGCCCCGTTGGTAGATTCTAATAAAATAATATTGCAGCATAATTTGATCGACTTTTCACAAACCATAAAATTTTATCTACTTTTCCTAATTATATCTTATCAACTAACGAGGGAGTAGATATACCAGTTACGACCTAACTACACTCTTATCATAGTTTCTGCTTCGCATGTTTCACGCTTAATGAGAAAAACTAAGTAGTTTTTGAACCATTAAATTTGAGACACTCATTTATAAAGTTTTTTCTTAAAAACTCCAAAAGATACTAAGGAAATATGATAAATGAATATCTAATTTTGCCAGGTTTTCAAGATGGCTAAGTAGATATTATTATTTTTTTTAAGAAAGCGTCCATTCTTTTTTCATTTTTCATTTTTTTTTGTTTAAATTAAAAAGATGACGAAAAAGTGGAGACCGACTACTTACTTTATTAGAATATACCCCTCTACAAGCTTAAGGTAAAAATAACTTAAAAGGAAGAAGAATTAACTATATTTCATATCAATTTAACTTTCAGTTACGTAATCAAGGGCGCGATTTTTAAATTCATTGTTGCCATCCATGGATATATTTGGCGCAGTGCTGACTGACTGGAATTTAAATTTCGTGCTGGGGATTCAGATTGTAGTTGTGCTGTAAAAAATGTCAAGTTGCCGCATTTATTAATTTATTTCCTCACATTGTCATTCGTTTTGACACTTTAGTTTTGTATTATGAGTTTTTAGTTTAAATAAATAGTGTTGTGATACTTTATAAGCTTGAAAATATTCACTAGCAAACCTTTCATCGTTCTTTTTAGAACCTCTTTTAGTGCGAAGTGTCCAAGATAACTTAATAGCCGTAAAAAACTCATCGCAGCTTTATTAGAATATTTTGAAAGGAAAAGCGGCAATGATGGCCCTTTATGTCCCTTAAGTGCTGTTAAGAAGTGAGTTTTGTTGATGTAAATAATAACTGTTTAATTATAAACTACCTACTGTAATATAACTATATTTATAATTAATTTATTTTTGTTTCTTAAAATATTTTGATTAAAAGAAAATATATAAAAGGGAGCAACGCTGTGCCGGTCAAGCTTAATCACGTGACTAAAAGTTTATTTGGTATGAACTATAATATGATTAGTAAAAGTAGTAGTAAAGACCTAGTAATCGTTTTATTGTGAAATAAACACGCCTTATTTTACCTGTGTTTGTTCAAGGTATCTTAAAGAAGAATTAACCAATATTATTAAAAGAAAAAAATCTTAAAAGCAATATAAACATAAATAACGACCCTGTCCCATTTTGGCATTTTATCATACTGATGTAGTTTAGACCTAGTAATCGTTTTATTGTTAAATACACACACCCTATTTTGACCTGTGTTTGTTCAAGGTATCTCAAAGAAGAATTAACCAATATTATTAAAATAAAAAAATCTTTTAAAGCATTATAAACATAAATAAGGACCCTGTCCCATATTATCATACTAATGTAGTATATAGACCTAGTAATCGTTTTATTGTGATATAAACACGCCCTAATTTAACCTGTGTTTGTTCAAGGTATCTCAAAACGTCATCCACCAATCGTACGGCCTCCCCCCACCTCACCAAGATCCACCACCACCGCTTCAACCGCCGCCTCTTCCACCCGTTCAACAAATAATATACCGACAGGCCACCTACACCAACCCCAACTACGTTATCCCGGGCAGCACCAACGTCCAGCTCGCACCCTGTCCACCAACGGCCGCCTACCCTACAGCCTTGCAATACCAAGCCATCGTACCTATGTACAGCAACCAGCCTAGCAACTCACCACCGGTACCCGTTGCCAAGCAGTACCTTAATTATAACCATTACGGGGCGAACATGGTGAAAACGTACTCGGGTGGTACGGGGGTGTATGGTTCTCCGAAGCATCAGTACCATCACCAAGCGGGTGGTATGGGTTACGAGCAACAGGTGTCGTATTCGCCAAATGTGGGGCTTAGGATGTATAGTAGTGGGGTTAAGGATGGGGTGCCGTTGTACAGGTCAGTAGCGTAGAGGTTATGGTACTTGTGAGTAACGAAGCGTGCTTGTGAAGTTTATTATACTTGTTAAGTATTTTGTTTACAAAAAAAGTTAATTTTGATTAAATTTTACTTTTGATTTTGATCATTTCTATCATCCTTCTAGATTTACTACTTCTAAACAAAACCATTTGTAGAATAATAATAAATAACATAAAATAAACTCAGAAATCCACATCATTTCAATTTTTTGTAAAAAATATTTGATTTTTTTAAAACTTGGATTTTTGTTTATTTGAATTATTTTCCGCATTACAATGTTGCCACTTTATATTAAAAGTGGTAGCATCTTACTCTCGTACTGCAGTACAAATTTTTAAATAGCTCTACTTAAAAAACCGGAAAGTTTAGGTATAGGAATATGACATGTAGTTGAAAAGTTATTTTATTAGTCTTTTAAAATATTAGTCGTTTAAAATAAAGATTTCAGAAATTTTATAAGAAACGGAAATAAATATTTTTTTGGCTCTCCCTGTGTAATATCTAATGATTTGATTTAGAGAGATCGAATATATACCGGATGCGTCTCGAAAGTGGTTCACCCCTATAACTTTTTTATTTTTATAGATAAAAAAACGTGATTTGGTATGTTATGAAACACCTTTTTTACGAATAATTTAGTACTACACACTTGGTATTTCGAGTCAAATTATTGTCCATATGAAACCGTATGTTACAATTTCAAATAAACCATATGCGAAAATGTCAAAAGTTGACATATGATATATCATTCTATTCAGAGTGTAATTTTCTATCGAATAAAGTAGAAATATACCGACGTTGCCATTTAAAAATCAAAAGTTGTAGTGATTTCCGGTAAAACAGGAAGTGACCAAAAACAATTGAATATATCAATCAATTCTAATTTATGTTATATCCTAACCAATAATACCAAATCTCGTTTTTTTATTTGAAAATATAAAAAAGTTTTAGGGGGTGAGCCACTTTTGAGAGGCCACCCGGTAGACTTTCGTTAACTCATAACCTAAATTTCATCTTTTAAAATGTTCAATTCATGATTTTACCAATAATTATACAAGATCATGTTTCTGTCAATTTTACATATGTTTTATTTATTATCTCAAAAATTTTTAGAGATAGGTATATAGGCTAGTATGATAGAAAAATTATGAGATATGAAAGTAGTTTCCAAAAATGTAATAATATACCGGGTGTTCCATTTAAAATACGAAAGATGCTACCACTTTTCAAATCATGCGGCAACATTGTAATGCTGACAATATTTTAGATAGATGGAGCAGGTGACTTAAAGCAAGTAAAAATCCAAATTTTCAAAAAAATTCTATCACCGGTTCTCCATAAATGTCTAACGTGCCATCGCCGTATGAATCACCCCATATAAATAATATATTAGATTCCTTCCTTAAAAGTTTTATTCAAAAATAATTATTTTTATAGGACTCAATAGATAGCTTCATTCCATATTTAGCATAATTAATATAATAACGCCAAACCGTAGAAAAATAAGTAAACAAAATACAAATAGCAGGCTTTTTTGAATAATCACGAATATAATTGAATATCCTTTGAATAAAGTATGTCGAGCAAGATACATGAAAGTGACAGTTATGGTCTGTCATTTTCTGGTCTGTCAAAATTTTTCTCTGAGTGTTTTTTTCTGTTGCCTAAATTAATTCAAGATGTCTGAAGTCTTCTGTTAATTTAAATAGAGTCTCATTGACAAACTAAATAGCATTTTTTTTTGGTTTCAGCAATGGGGAGCTGACCAGTCAGCAGCATCGCAGCACCCAGCCGATGGGGCACTACCAACAGTACAAAGGACTTCAGATCCAGCACTCGTCCCAGTCAGGACCGTACGAGCAGTCTCCTAGGAACTATCACGTCATACCCCCGCCGCCGCCGCCTGGCAGTACGCCACTGGCCATCGCCAAAGGCAGTGACGTCATGGTGCAGAAGCACTACGAAATGGCGTGATGGACAGAGACGGTCGTGCTGACAGTCCGCGTCAATTTCTTTTTCTAGTAAGAAAACTGTGTTTGATGTGGTTCAACGATTATTTTAGACGAGTTGATTTAAAAATGACTTAAATCATTTATAGTAAAACAATTTAGCTAAGGTTATTGTAACAATAACATACTGAAACTTTAGAGTGTCTTACAATGTTAACTTTAAAAATAAACTATCTACCCTTTATATTCACTATAAAAGGGTTAAAAAAGTTTAAATGGACTACATATCGTGTAATAGGTATAGCAATTTTTTTTCATCAAAACATACAGTTTCATGTTGCCAATTATGTGAAGATTTACTATAAACCTATTTCATGATTTTTCTAAATATCAAAGGTTTCATTTGGAGGAGAGTCTTGAATTTGGTCTTTTTGTAAAAATAAAGGCACAAACATATAGAGTATCCTCAAAAAAGTCTGCGTAGAATGGATTTTTTATTAGCAGAGACTTGCTTAGCTTCGAGAATTTGCTTTCCTTCCAAATTTTGTCTCTCCCATTAATTTCAATATTTCGTCGAATATTTTGACCACTCCTTGTATATTAACCTTAATATATCGATGCCGTATTTAATATTACTTAATCTGACACACTAACAACTATTTTTGAAAATATGTTGATTACAACAATCTATTTCTCCAAAAAAATCCTTTATGGGTATTTCGCCACTGCACTGCAAGAAAATCTACAAAATAAAATAGTTATTTTTTGTAAACACTTATGCGTTAAACCTAAACGGACACTGCTTATCAGAAGTTATGTTTACAGTTATACAAATTTGCCTAACAAAGAAAAAATGCTTAACGTTTCGGAAAGTTTATCTCTTTCCGTCGTCGGAAGCAAAAAAAATATAAAGAATAAAGAAGAAAAAAACTATTTAAAATATTTAAATGCAACTATTCGAGAACACTTTATTTTTTAAAACAGATACGTCTAATGTTTAAAAAAAAATAAAACAAAAAATCATAAAGGATTTTTTTGGAGAGATGAATCCGCCACATAGGTATAGACGTTTTTTTAACAATCTATTTGCCTAACATATACACATTTTAATATGGCAACACTGTCGCTTTCAGATCCACACCGTCTTCGATATGCCTTCCCTGGCCGAATTAGAGAAAATAAGTATTTTATGCGTTGACCGCAAAGCGATTGGTGTCTCCACCGTACATTACTTGAGACGTAAGGGGAAATCAAATCAGCCTTGTCACGAATTCGCCCATTAGGTTGCGTATCTTCCCGATTCTCTCAGTCAACGGTAAAACCTAAAATCTCCCTAGCGATATTTACTTTAAGTACAGCTGGTTCAAATCAAATTGAATACGATTCAAAACATATTTTTATTGTTTCGGGCAGTATATTCTATGATACCAATCCCCCATTTCTCTATTCATGTCATGCTGAGGTTCTGAAAAATTTATTTGCCACTTTGTCAAAAGCAAAGTTGTTTTATACAATGTCACAATAACCTTAACATGTCAAAATACTTGACACATAAATATACACTGCTCAAATATTCGAAAAAAATGTGTAAAGAGTCGTGTTCATTTTTGTTTGGAACCAGCTGTACATCTACTAATCAAAGAAGAATTTCATCAAAAATAATTACTTATTTTTATAAAACTGTTACAAATAAATAAATTTTGCTTTCTAAAAGCGCTTACTTATAACTAAGAATATCGGTTTTTGATACAAAAAATAGACTTTCCAAAAAGAAACTAAATATGTCAGATTATGTAATATGAAATATTTTTACATAGACAAGTAAACCTTAATATGACAAACAAATAGATTATAGAAGAGTGACAAAATTTGACTGATAAATAAAAAATGTGAAGCTAAACAATTTTTTCAAACAACATATTTCAAAATTTTAATAAATAAAATGCATTTTAATAACAAACGTCAATTTTGATAGGTTAACCGTGTAATTATATAATGTTATATTTAAGTTTTTTTGACAACCAAAAACTAATAGCGTTACCAAATTTTATCTATCGTTATTAACAAAATGACTTCCATTTGATGGTTTTTTTATTCATGGCACGAATGGTTGTCGTCTCGGCGCACTCAGTGATGAGGTGTACTGGTGTTTCCCCATCTTCCCCACAGAATCTGCATTCGCCATTTCTTCTTAGTTTCAATCTACTGAGGTGTTCATTGAGGAGACAGTGTCCTGTTAAAAACCCCGTGACAATCCGAAGATTGTTCTTACTTAAACCCAGGAACATCTGTGATTTTTCTTGATCATAAGCCCTCAGAAACTTCTTCGACTGTCTTAGACCGTTGCAAGATTTCCATTCCAGGTTGCGGATGGAATCTTCCAAGTTCTTGAGTTCCGCCTTGAGTTGGTTACCACTTGGAAAGCAGAACGGTTCTGGTCCAGTTAGTGGAGTGTTCGCTCCTTTCCTAGCTAGAACATGCGGTTTACAACGACAATTTGACTCGAAATACCAAGTGTGTGGTACCAAATTATTCGTAAAAAGTGCTTTTCCAAATATGCTAATGAGCTACCCTCGTTCGATTTAAAAAAAATTGAGATATGATTAAAAATACGATTTGGTCATATTTAACCGACCAGGACAAGATACGAAAAACATTGACGATCTAAACTAGTTTTTCAAGGCTCCTTGATTAGTGTTTTTAACACAGCCTTGGCACTCTAGATTAAAATTTAAAATACAATTTTTTAAGCCAAAAATGTCAAAAATTGACATATGATATCTCATTTTATTCAGATTGTCATTTCTATCGAATAAAGTAGAAATATATCGAAGGTGCGATTTAAAAATCAAAAATTCTAGTCATTTCCGGTAAAACAGGAAGTAACCAACAACAATTGAGTACGTCAATCGATCCTAATTTATGTCATATACTAACATACCAAATCTCGTTTTTTTTTATCTGAAAAAAATGAAAAAGTTATAGGGGTGAGCCACTTTTGAGACGCACCCGGTATATTTAATAACTTATTATTTGAATACACAACCAAACCAAACCAATTTATACAAGTAAACTAAAAAAAATGATCATACCCTTTCGCAAATTAAAAAACAAATATATCTTGAATGAAATTATTAGCTATAATTAGCAAGAAAAAATTTTCTAAATATTAAAATACTCTAGCCAAATGTATTTGGGTAAATATATACCTTATAGAATAAAACTATTAATAATAATTCTAACAAGAACGATAGATCTATAAGTAAGCAAATAATGATAATTGTTTAGTTTATTTTTCTATATCTTTACTGTAACTATATGTAATTGTTTCTTATTATACTTGTACAACAACTTATAAATATCGTGTAAAAGCGTAAATATCTAAAACTATACTAATGTAGCAATCTCATAGATGTGCGATTTGATTTTGAACACCCTGTGTATTCAAGTTTTATGCCAGACTCTAGCAGTGCCAAAATACAATAGATTAACCATTTTAATCATCATAATATGTTGCGAATTAAATTAATTTATAACAACAAATTACTTTTTCATAACTACAGAATATAATATATATTATGGTCATTTAAAAATAAATAAATAAATCTAAAATTATTTCATATTGAAATAATCAAATATATTATCTATAAGACCTACAACATACGCAGTGGTTCATTTATTAGTTGTAAGGCAGTCAATATTTTTTTTTTAAGAGAGACTGTTTAAGTCATACTACTAAACGGTAGACCACCCTGTATACTAATTATAAAAAAATTCTGAGAAAATTTCTAGTTTTCTGTACCTTTAAAATGTCAATATTTTAATATTTTATTATAGTTTGTCTTGGACTACATTATCACATAGCGACAAGTAATATATAGGTTAAGTAGTTATCCATTTTGAAACATATGTATATTTATATACAGTGAGTTCCAAGAAGAAAATTTTGTTAGCTGTTCATTAAAATAATTGGTGTCGAATAATTATATTTAAGTAAAAACAAGAGAGAACACTCAATACAATATACAGGGTGGTCCGAACTGTATTCCGGAAACTTCGGCAGCATATTCTGCAGATAAAAATAAGTAAAAAAGTTCGTGTAAATGTATGTCCTAAGATGCTTAGTTTCGGAGATAGAGGGTGTAGAAGTTTCATTTTTAATTCGATTTTTTCCAAATAATTTATGAAGTAACGTAAATATTTGGATGAAAATTGGTGTCTGGGAGTTTTTTGACATGAAAAATTTGATTTTGATGTCAATATGAATTTATTTAGAAAAAATCGAAATAAACATGAAACTTCTAAACCCTGTTCTCTGAAAGTAATCATTTTAGGACATACATTTATAGGAACTTTTTTACTTATTTTTATCTGCAGAATATGCTGCCGAAGTTCCGGAATACAGTTCGGACCACCCTGTATATTAAACCTGTTCATATAAAAAACCTTCAACAGTCCTATCAAATATTTATTATAGGATAATTTATAGACCTAAAAATATTGAGAGGCATTGCAAATATCTATATAGATTCTTTAACTTGTAATAAATTCGGTAAATCAAAGATACGTGTTTTTTTTTCGGAAATATATTTTAAATTATCGTTCCCTTCAATTGAATAATTTCAAAAACTCAATTTTTAACTATAATTTTACATATTTATAATAATTCTTAGACACCTATTACTTATACAGGGTGTTTCAAAATATATACTTAAAAGTTTGAAGGGTAAAAATGGAAAAAAATATTAACATGTAATCACCTCTTAAACTTATTCGCATACGTTTTGAAACACCCTGTAGTTGAACATTAATAATTAGAAAATAATGTAGCAATGTATATTTTGTTGAAAAACTTTAAAAATTTTAGCCAATCCTTATATAGTTAAATGTGACACTGTCAAGCAGACTCTCAACAAATGTGATATTCTAAGATGTAAAATAAAAAGAAAACATATTATGTGTAAAAACGGATCAAAATGTAGACAGAGCAGAAAATAATTATATGTACACAAAGAAAAAACCGTATGTTATCTTCCTTAATATAAATACTAACCGTAGGTTCTGAGAAAAAAGTGTTAATAATGATAGTATATAGAGTAAATATAATAAATAATATATTTTCTATATGTACAGGGCGGGGTCTTTATTTAATAAATTTAGTTCGAGGTTTGCACAATACATTACTCTTCTTAATACCGTATGATAAAAAAAAAACGACGCACAGTGGTTCGGATTGCTAAAAAGTGGCGCATAGGATATTTTTAATTTTATTACAAATTCTAGACTTATTAAGTTTAATGGCGGATTTATTAACATGATAAAGATAGTCCAAGGAATAAACAAAATATATTTCAGACTATGTTTGTTTAGTATAAAAATATTAAAAAAGGGGGATTTTCTATGAATTTTATTCAAAAATTATGGTTTTTAAAAAGGTTTGAAAAATGCTTCGAACCTAGTAAACCTGAACATAGTAAAAAACCTGAACCTAGTAAAAAAAATACATAAACTGCAATATGCCTTAAATGGAGTCTTGAAACTCATTTTCTTCATGACATGATTCACCATCACTTTTTTCTAGTTCCTCCTCACTATCTGATTTAATGGCGACTACTTTTTCTGGAAATTCAAACCCTAGTTGGACTGCTTTTGCCGTCTCATTTTTATGTTCCTTCCTTAAATTAGAAACTGTAGCATATGCCAGAACTGCTACATAGGTGTAAGAATCTCTAATTTCTAGAAATAAATTGATTTTTAATCTTTGCCATTAATTGAAAGCAATAATGCAATATTTGCAGCATTATGTAAATAAAAAACATGTTTTTTTTTTCTGAAAGATATTATAAATTAATTCCTTGGCAATATATATCTTTGGTCTCTTTATTTTTTTGGGACTTGGACAATTCTGAAAAAAATTTCTTCTTGAAGGGCCAGGGTCATCAAAAGATTGATTCTCTTCCATTTATAGTAACATATTAAAGTAAATTTTTATTCAACCAGAGACAATTGTAGGAAATAAAACTGCTCCAAGTATAATTACATTTCCTCCACTTTTCTGACCATTTATAAACAAAATTTTCAAATTGCTTTTTTTTCGATAATATGTTAGGAATATTATTATCACACAATAATGAAATAATTTCATCAATAATATCCGCTTCTGACCTATTATTAAAACCCATTTTCAAAAACCTCTCACATATTGATCTGCGGCTTATTGTTCCTAAAAATAAAATGAATAGAGTACGGGAGGAACATGTGAGTCTCTATAGTTACACTTTTACCACTCCAGAGTTACTCATAAAATATTAGTATAATAATTTAAGAAATTATCCATGGAACAAAAATCAGACTACTGGTCAATTTAAAATTCTAATTTATATATCATCTACCTCGGGGTCTCTTGGGGTAAGATACTTGTGGTAAATTAAACTTGGTATAATACCTTTTAAAAATTATAAAATACAGAAGCGGAGATCTGTGGAGTTCTAAAGATACGCAATTTTAAAGTTTATTTTTTTTTCAAAAAAAACGCTCTACTATGTTTGTGGTAACTACTAGCTTATAAAAAAATATTTAAGTTAATAAAATTCTCTTAAAAAGTACTTACCTTGGTCTTGAAAATCCATTATAATTTAATTTATTTACAAGTCTCTGAACTAAGAACCAACATATATTAGCAACACTAAACTATTATCAGCAAATAACTGATATATTTAAACTACAAAATCTAACGAAAACATTTCTGTACGCTTTTTTATTACGATTAAAAAGTGGACCGTGATAAATTTGAATAAATGGACCCATCATCTGTTGAAAATATCATTGTTGAAATTTTCGAAATTTTTTTCTTGACCCCTATGCGTCGATTTTTTTGAATGTGAACCAGTGTGCGACGTCCAATTGGCTGGAAACTGACGATCGATGACATTTCCCATAATAGATATAAAATGACAGCGATCTTTATTTCATAGCCATCGCTGGCGCAGTTTTTTTTTTCGATCATACGGTATAATACCAATGCTCTAAAGAATAATACATTTTTTCTTTGACAATGTAAATAGTGTCAAAAACTGCCTAACACATTTTTACCTGTCCCATAATAAAAACAAAAACCGTTTGATGTACACTTTTTTGTGCACACTGTATAGAAATAATCCTCTCCAACATTGATTTTTATAACAGTTCTACAGTATGTTCCAGGATTGTCTACAGTACAAAAGGAAACTCTTTTTTATTTTTAGCATTTTGAGAAAAATGCATTCTTCATAAAAAAATTTACTTGTTCTAAAATGGTTAATCCTGTTTAAACTTTTCCAAATTTCCACACCATTTTAGAGAAGATTAAAAAAAACGTGAAAAAGTCCTAAAATGTCCTAAAATTCCAAACGCGTTTCTATGGTAATATCATTTCGTTTTCATTTTTTGATAGATTATTATTGAAAAAATTTTAATTAACGTCATATTTTTTGCTGTTTTAAAATGTTAAAGAAGCACAAAATTTATTTAGTTCAATGCTACGAAAACTATTTTTTTTAACAGTTATAGGAAAACGTGATACTTTAACAACAGCAAAAAATATGATGTTAATCAAAATTAATAATAACTATCTATCAAAGAATGAAATCAAAATTATATTACCATAGAAACGCCTTTTGATTTTTAGGACTAGAAAAAAATTCAACCATATTTCCATGTTTTTTTTTAATTTTCTCTAAAACGGTATTGACATTTGTAAAAGTACTCGTATAAACGGGATTAACCATTTTAGAAAAAGCAAAACTTTTTATGAAGAATGCATTTATCTCATAATGTTAATTAGTGATGGGAATACCGGTTCCACATGAGTCGCGTTACAATAGCGACCGTTCCAGAAAAATACCGCGATTTTGTAACCGAGGTTCCGACTTCCAAAGTGTCGCGGTCCTCGCTAAAAATATATCTAACTTATCTATATTTGTAGATTAATGTAACTTTTATGCGCCACTCATTTTCCAAATATCGAGTTTATAATTTTATTTTGTATAGCCAATCTATCTCATTTTTAAGAAAACGATGACATTCGTTGTTATTTTCCATCAATTTTCGTTTAAATAAAATCAACGGCCCATATTTATGTGTATTGTAATAATACAATATATTTAATGTTAAAATCAAGAACAAAGTCCAAACCACTGTCGAAAAAAATTGTTTATTGGCCTAACCTAACCTTAAAAATAGATATAAACAATAAAAATTATATAAATGTACAAAAGCAAATAAAATATTTATATTTTATTTTATTTGCTTTTGCGTTTTATCTTTCAAACAACGCTATTAGGTATATACCACGCCTAGTACATACCAAAAATTGCTATTTCGAAAGTAACGTAACGGGAGCACCAACGCCAATAGTAACCAACCAAATCGCGACAGGCAAAACCGGAACCCTAGAAGCGCTCCAGCGACTGCCGGTCTCGGAACGAAGTACGTCGCCGCCGAGGTCGAGCGTCGATAGCCAGTTACAGCAGGGACCAGTTACTTGTTACTTCTGTTCGCGACAGACGGAACTACGGCTCTAGGAGCGCGACGGCTGGAGCGAAGTTACTTAGCTGCCGAGAGCCGAGGTCGAGCGTCCATAATCAGTTACAGCAGTTACCAGTTACTTCTGTTCGTTACAGACGGAACTACGGCTCTAGGAGCGCGACGGCTGGAGCGAACACGCGCGACGCTCCGTACATACCAATGCCAGTTATAGTAAACGCCACGAATGTTTGGGAGTGATTCATCACTTGATGAAGTTAGAATCGACACGCGCGCTATCATTTTTACATTAAAAACGTAAATTTTTACCGCAGACGTAGGTTTTTAAAGGCCCGATCTAATCATCTCCCTGCGCTCCTCCTACTTATTCTAAAATGTTAGCGTCATTGACAAAGACGATACTATATCGCGTTTCTTTGACTGATTCGTTTTTGTGCGTCAGTCCATTGGTGTGCTTGCAGTACGACCAATGGGGCATTCCAGTTTATATTTATAACCAAATATATGTTTTGACAAGACTTTGGCAGTTAAAACAACAAATTACAACAGATTATATATTGGTTATTATATGACTTGAAACACCACGGCACTGGAATTAAGTATTATGTGACCTTGAACAGATTAGTTCACATGGTAGCGACCGATGAATCACTCCCAAACATTCGTGGCGTTTACTCTACTACTGTTGGCGACTGACGAAATAGCGACGGCTGGATCTAAACACGTCGCTATGCGGTTACTACGGTTCCAGCTAACTTCAAGAGCGATTATAAATAATTTATTTGCAAATTATAATTTATAATTCTGTCGTCATTATGATCGTCGTTCTTCAGTAACAGATTCCTGATTCGTTGTGGAGCGCGCCACGACGTTACAAAAAAATATCGCTCCAAAATCGCGTTACTCAAATACCGACACATCACTAATGTCAATAGTAAAAATGTGTTTCCTCTTGTAAAGACAATCCGAGGACATACTGTATAGAGTCCTATTTTTAAGCTTTTTATTATTCATAATTTTAGTTATTTTATTCTATGACAGCTACTGGTGTATTTTGTTATAATAAAAAATCTTAAAAGATAACAAGTATATGGGCCTTCGACAAGTCAAAAACTGAATTTAATTTTAATATAAAGACTCACCCTGTATTTACTTCTGTTAGTCAAATTTCTTAGTGTCAATACCTACATAAATAAGTATAGATATCTGCCAAAAATATCGAAACCGCCAAAGAAAAAAAGGGTGTTAAAAACTTACAATGAAAGTTTGGGAAGAATAAAAGAAATTATGAAGAACAATATTTCAAATATCAATACTTAGTTCACCCTGTGTAACTGATTTTCTAACAGTTTGTATACACTTTACAATGACTTGATACAACCAAAAAACTCTAAACTAAAAAATAAATAGATGTTTGTAGATAAATATAATTTTAAGTAATATCAACAGGATAAATTGATATTAAATTATGTTAAAAATGAAAAATGTAATTATTATTTATTGTCATTGAAATACCTATGTGGTTTCAAATAATGATTATTTAAAGTTATAGTTTGTTTTGATTATATGTCTGTCAGATAACCTGAGAAAAGGTATTTATTAAGTTTTTTCAATAAATTTTATTCAGAATGATTTGTTTTTTGTTTATTTCTCAAATTATCCTAAAACATCTTGCATTAAAAATGAAATGTCATTTATTAAAAATAGTAAACTGTCGTTGTGTGTGTTCTTCTCGATTTACTATTTTCTTATTTCTTCATTCCCTTTTTTTAATGTATTATTTAGTATATTTTTTATAATAGTTTTTGTTTTAAAATTTATAAAAATATTTCAAAAAAAATCATAAAAATATAATAAAGAAAGTGTACAAATACTGTAAGTTTTTAGTGTACCTATTATTAGTTGCATACTTACTTTTGTTATAAAATTTTTATTTTTACCATTTTTCCTTGCTCACTTTAAATTCCAGTGTATTTTCAGGTGTCAATTTTTAGCCAATTTTAATAACAAATTGAAACTACATTTGTGGTTTAAACTTTCTTTATTTTTTTCTGTTTAATACCATATTTTCTAGGAACACCGTCTACAATTTTTTTTGCTGCTTCCTTCTTCTCTTTCAACTTACTGTGAATTTTCTGTTTTAGCTTCTTCTTACGTCTCTCACGATTTTTATCAGTTTTCGACCTTTCGCTTTCACCTGAAAAAAAGTAAAATAAAATAACACATAATTGAAGTAAACGAAATGAGATGAAAACAAAAAGAACAAATTAATATGTAATTAAAAAAAAATAAAAAATTTACTAATAGCAAATTTACTCAATAAAAATTATTACTTTGATAATAGACATCTTTACTTTTTTCTGAATTAAATATTATTTTTTGACAATTTTTTTATGTCAATCTCTGTATGTAGAGGTCGGAATTAGAGAGAAATTTACATAAATGTTCAAAGACTGATATATCCCTATCCTATATTATATACACTATTTAGAGTATATCAAAAATTTTAACGGTTTTGCAGATATTTGCGGTTTTATATTTCATATGGCATTTTCCACAGTAAATTTTTATCAAAGCCACCCAACGATTTTAATTTTCTCTCTTAATTTACAGTTGAAAGAGCCATATGAAACAATACTGCATGTATCTGCGAAACCATTAAAAATTTTGAAATACTTTAAAAACAAAAATGTTCATTTTTTAACTCTCCATCGAGTAAAGAAATAATATATAAGGTGTTCTGTTTAAAACAAAAACAAAGAAAAATTATTTTATATTTAAGAAAGTTTGGCGTAGAATTTTCAACATCCTGTATAATTTAAGATTACGATATTTATAGCAAAGTACGTATAGACCATCTAAAGTAAATACCTACTATAGTTTTGATTACAAGACAGTTCTTGTATTTGTAATAATTTTTTTAAGGAAAGTTGAAAAATATATATTTTTTATTTATTTATATCGCTGAAATTGTAGAAATATATTTACTCATATCTTAGGATTATGTAAAGTGATCTGAAAGGAAGCCAAAAATGCAATAACATAGAGGGTGTTCCATTTAAAAAAATCATCCAGATCCACTGACACATTTTTGAGCCACCCTATAGAAATTAAAATATTTTCCTGAAATACATTTTCGTACATACTTTGGTTTGCACTTAAACAAAATTCTCAAGATTTTTATTCTAGGAGCTACAGATGCCCGAAGCACTATTGCCGGACCCTGTAGAAATCCCTAGCAATCTTCCTAATTTTGTAAATATACTCCCTCCTTAGTATTTTTATTCAATGCCACTGACTTAAAATTAGATAAATATGACACGTACCTGTAATATCTCCTTTGACTTTATTCCTAACCTCTTCAGGTGCTAATAACGCTGCATCACTGACAGCTACCGGAGCGACATCTTCCATGTTTATTGCCGGTAAATTACTGACTATTTTCAGTTCTGGAACAGATTGTCTGGAGGTGAAATGATAATTTGACAAAGCATCCAGTTTGTTAAATAAGTCTCCCATCATTTTTCGCACTTCCTTGTGTAACTCTGGTTCTTCTTCTTCTTTTTCTGCATTGTTCGGGTCCAGTGCAGCCTGTTTATCCAGGAATTCCTTTTCGTAGATTTGGGCCAGTGATTCTTTGCTCTTTTCCTGGTTCAATACTAGTTGTTTCTTGTACTCTAACAAAGAATTGATTGGTTTTTCTTTACGTTCTACGCTATCGAAAACCTTGTCTTTTATTCTTTGCCTGATGATGTCCTCCAGTTGTAATGAGGTATTTTCGGTAATAACAGGTGCTAAACAAATTAAAAAGTTTTATTTTCACACAAATAATAGCTTAAAGTTAAGTAGATAGTCATAAAAAATTAATAGTTACTAATTAACTTTGTTTTACAATGATCATTTTGAGCTTTATCATCGCAATATATCATTATACAGGGTGTTTCAAAACAAATGCGAAAAACTTCAGGGGGTGATTCCTTGTTCAAAATAAAGGGTAGTTTGCTTCATAAACGTTGGGTCAAAAGTCAACCATTAGGGAGATATCGCGGTACAAAGATGGCGGAAAAATAATGTTTTTATTTTTTATCTTGAAAACGAAAAGAGATAGACTAATAAAATTTTATGGAAGCATTACTGTTATGAAAACACACTTTCTGGTAATTTTTTCACTTTTTTAAAATGAGTGGAAGGGGTTGAAATAAACTACCCCTATCATTCTTGTTAACGAAAGTTAATGAAAATCTTATCAAACACATGCAAAAAAATTAATTTGGATAGTTTAGTTTGTTTAGAAACTTTTTTATCTCTTGTATTTTTTTGATAAAACTCACCGATTTGAAATTAAAAAATAAAATGTAAATCATTACATGCCAGGACAAAAAACATTTTCTGATAAAGAATCTAGTGGGCTGCTGTAATTTTTTTAGGAAAAAATCTAGTCGGCCGCTGTTACTTTTTAGGATGTTCCTAATATTATTTTATTTGATATTACTCTACTGCAATACGTTATTATCTAGATGATTATTATTATCGTTATTATCACTTCTTAATCTAAAAATGTTTTTTGTCCTGACATGTAATGCTTTACATTTTATTTTTTAATTTCAAATCGGTGAGTTTTATCAAAAAAACACAAGAGATAAAAAAGTTTCTAAACAAACTAAACTATCCAAATTAGTTTTTTTGTATGTGTTTGATAAGATTTTTCTTTAAATTTCGTTAACAAGAATGATAGGGGTAGTTTATTTCAACCCCTTCCACTCATTTTAAAAAAGTGAAAATATTACCAGATAATGTGCTTTCATAACAGTAATGCTTCCATAAAATTTCATTAGTCTATCTCTTTTCGTTTTCAAGATAAAAAATAAAAACATTATTTTTCCGCCATCTTTGTACCGCGATATCTCCCTAATGGTTGACTTTTGACCCAACGTTTATAAAGCAAACTACCCTTTATTTTGAACAAGGAACCACCCCCTAAAGTTTTTCGCATTTGTTTTGAAACACCCTGTGTATCTTTTTAATCAGATATAGTTTTTTATATAAAAAATAAATTTACCTGGTCTAGATGTTATATCAAATTCAACAACTTCCTCCAATAACGAGTTTTGTGGTCTGCTATCAGCATGAATTTCTCCTTTCAATTGCCAGGGTTTTTCGCTGACTGCTTGTTCTTCCATCTCTTCAATTTTCGTTCTTAACCTTTGCTGCCTAAGCTCAAACTTTGATAGTTGAATCTTTTCCTAAAAAAGAAAATTAAATAAATCGGGTACAATAATAAAATAAGAATTTAACTTACTTCATGTTCTTCTTCATCTGAATTAGATTCGCTGAAACCTCTCTTTCTCTTGCCCTTGTCTTCTGTTGTGTCATCTTTTTTAACAAAATAGTCCTTAAATTTGGCCATTTTAGCATCATCTTCCCCAGTGCTTTCTCCAGAGTCTTCATTTTCCTCAAATAAATCTATACTCTCTTTGTCACTTTCATTCTCTGAATCACTTTCTAAAAATTCACAAAAATACTGTTATAAATTTATAACAAATTGTATAAGTAACTTTACCAGAGTCATTAGCATTTCCATTATTTTCTTCTTTGTTTAAGAAAGCTTCCATTTCATCTAGTTTAAAAAACTCATCATCTACAACTGATTTCCTTTTGCTCTTACTATTAGTATTTTTGAGTTTATCAACAGATATATCGCTATCATCTTCAGAAGCTTCTATCTTATTACCTTCTTCTTCTTCATCATCTTCATCTGATTCAGACATATCATTTTCAGAATTTATTTGTGTATCAACTGCATCTTCATTTTTCTTAATATTTTCGCCAAATACTAGTTTATTTTTATTAGATAATAACTTGCTAATAACGGTTACGGAGCTATTTAAAACATCTTCATTCTGTAAATTTACTTGCTGCCATATTTGTTCGGAATCAAAATCTTTTACAATTAATTTCGGTAGTGATTTTAATGAGCCATTTTTATGTTCTTTTTTAGTGAAATCATATATATCTTTAATATGGCCTTTTAAACGATCAACTAAATCATCGTCTACGCTAAAATTTCAAACAGAATAATTTGAAATGCAAATTAACAAAAAATATATGTGAAAAAAACTTACGACAGGTAATTTGTAGGACTATCTGTAACCTTCTGAAAATTCGATATAAATTTCTGCAACTCGAGTGTCATTTTATAAATTAAAAACAAATCAAATTATAATAACATTAAAAATATAAGGAAATAAACTATATAAAAATGATATAAACATTAAACATGCACAAAAAAGTATGGTTAAAATGTTAAAATCTATGGTTAAAATCTCAAAGTCGTCTTTTGTTTATGTAGGCGGTAAACTAGTCTTCCTTTCCAATATAAGATTATTTGCCCTTATGTCTTTGTGCCAACACTACACACTGTTAACAGTTACTGAAGGACAGGGATGGAAGTAAATTTTTTTTACCAATCTGAGCACGTAAATTTTTATCACTCTTCTACTTTTTTGCAATCTTTAGTATCTTATCTATGGCCATTATAAAACTAGAAGGTAAAGGTGTGGCAGTGCCTTCTATTAAAAGATCAGCCTGCGGGCGGACTTTTGTTTACTTCATCAGCTGTACATACTTAGATATTGGGTTAGATTCCGTTTCATATTTTGTCGGTTGATTTTTGGTTTTAACTCTTTGATTTTTTGTATTATTTATTATTGTAGTGCAAAAAACTAATTATTTTGGTGTTGAAGTGACAAAACTACTACCAGATATATGGTCACTCTCGGTTTCGCATAAAAAAAATAGAAAAATTGAAAAATTACACGTTGTGTAAGTGATTTAACCTAAAAGTGCCCATACATTTTTTACTCATCGTGATTTTTGTGTGTGTTTTTTAAGACTCTAACAATTCATCAATAAAGCTTAAGTGGAGTGTGTTTTTGTGCTATGCCTCATCTTTGTTGTGTTCCTGGTGGAAAGGATAGTTATACTAGGCAGCCTAAAGTGTCCGGAAGAGCAAGAAAAATGGGTACGAGTTATAAATCAAGAGAATTCTATTGAAAATATCTTTAATAAATTTAAAAATAATATTCTCCCATGATAGTATTAATGAAAACTGGACAATTATGTTTATTTTATTCATATTGTGGAATCTCCATTCCAAGTGTTGTTGGTGCAGCTTTGATAGATTCAAACACGTAAGATAAACATGTCAGTAGGTATTATGATCTAGGGAAAAATAAAGAATATGTGTATTAAAGATCATGAAAAAGATTATTATTTTGAGTTCAAATTTTAAAAAAGATTTTTCTAAAGACAAGACTGATACAGTTTAAAAGAAGAATGTGTTTTTGTTTGATAATATATAATGTATGTCAAGCATAACATATATTTGTTCAGTAATTTTTAATGAATAGTGTTGATTATTTATAATACCAAATAAATATCAAATATTTTAAGTGATGGCTGAATACAATGTGAATAAAATAACAATAAAATTGGTATATTTGCATAATACAAAATTAAGTTTTAAGTATAAAGGTGTTACTAAAAATACTAAGAAATTCATATTTCTTTGTTTTAATTGGTCTAATGTTATTTACATTTTACGTAAGAATTATACCGTATCATCGAAAAAAATCGGCGTCTAGTTGGCTTGGAAATGAACATTGATGACATTCCCTAAATAACTGTACACATAAAATAATTAACTAGAATTTTACAATCTTGGAAAATTTGATATTCTTGAACCTTGATTCTAAATATTCTAAATTTTTGATTTTCTTGGAATTTAGGTTCGGGAAATGATTGATTTTTCATTTGGTTTTCATTATTTTTATTTGGTTTAAAAAAAAACGGTTCGGCTAACATTATAGCCTCCCATCAGTGTGTCATATGAAAAAAATAGTGTCGAATATAATCCAAAAATTGCATATAAAATATTCACACCACGCACATAATGTTTACTGCGTACTCCATAGTCAATGTAGATAATTTTAGTGTTAAGAATAATAATTTTAAAAAATATGTGGTCATCTTTTGATAAGTTTATATTAGTTTATTAATTGCAGTAAACATTATGAGGTGTGAATTATATTGTATATGTAATTTTTGGATTATATTCGACACTATTTTTCTCTATATGACACAACACTGTGAAGGCTATAGTTAGCCGAAACGTTTTTTATACCAAATAAAAATAATGAAAACCCAAATGAAAACTTAATCAACGTTTTCCCCGAACCTAAAATCCTAAGAAAATCAAAAAATTTAGAATAATTTAACATATAAAATGCCAGCGATCTTCATTTCATAGCCATCGCTGACGCCTTTTTTAGATAATATTGTATTATTTGTAAATATAATTTTTCGAACATTGATACTTGCAAAATATACATATAAATTTTGTGAATGCAAATAATAATACATCACTATTAGTAGATATTAAATGTTTTTTTTGTTAAACTAGATCGATTTTCAAACCCCAAAATTTAAAATATATTTACATTTTACCCATTATCTTATGTACCTATACATTATTTGTACATTGTAAAACATTTGCTGCATTTGTATGGTTCATAGTTTATTTGCCAAAGTATTTATTACTATAAATAGGTATATATGTTGTAGTTATTAACTGTATATTATGTATATTTCATTTAAACTATATCATTTTTAAAATACAAACCAAAAATCCGAGGAATAATTATGTTTTCCATGTATTCTACAACATATTTATTAATCCATTATATCTAACTAGCGTGACGTCATAAATCTCGCCCCCAGGCTGATCTTTTAATAGAAGGCACTGGGTGTGGATCCGGTGGCTGACCTTGAAGGCCATATTTGCTGCATTTGATCATCGATACTACGCAAGCGCACATCGTCGATGTTGCCAAATTGCAGTTTATTTTCGAATTATTTGCAGTTGAATTTTTTTTTTGAGTGTTAATCAATAATAATACAAATTCTATAATTAATTTTATAATTTCAGATTTATCTTGATATCCAAAATTAAGGTAAGAAGGATAATGAAGATTGTGAAATGAAAGTATTATGAATATATAAAATTGTACGTAATAATAACAGAGATATGGAAGTGGTTGAATAATAATAACATTTATTTATATATTTACATTAGAATTAAAAATTATCATTTACGGATTTTTTCTAATGGTTTTAAACTTATTAGAATTATTTTATTTCTTTCAAGTTATTTAATTTCTAGTTATTTACAGGCAACAATAGTTTTCATTATATTATGTATATTGATGTTTTGAAATATTACCATGACGAGTCTTATAGAACAATACACGTCAATGGGAGATAGAGGTAACATATTTTACCTATAATGTTACTAATATAATATACTTTGATTGTAATGTTTGTATCATATAATTTCTTAAAAATATCAAGTTAGTGGATTAATAGCAATTTTAGACATATATTTTATCGAAGAGTGTTGATAAGACTAAAATAAGCTTTATGTTTTATCTTTTTCTCTTTAGAAGGGAGATGGTTTGTATCGTAGAATACATTACAGTATTTAATATCGTGTACTTTGATATTCTTTTCTTAATTTACTGCAATTTCTTGTTTCCTATAATGCCAAATCTTGACAATATGGTGAAGGTTGAGTTTTGATCTTATTAGTTTTATACCTGTGTTTATACAAGACCAAATTAAGACTTAGTTTGTGATTTATATTAAGATCTTTCTTATAATATTTATTATGTCTTAATCTTATGCTTTGTCTGGAAAATAAATGTTAAAATATCTTAATTTTGCATATCCTATTCCATCCTTCCATTAGGAAAAATATGGTTTATAAATCATATTATAGCTAAGAAAATCACATAAATTAGGTGTAAGAATAGAGGAATCTTAAAGTAGCAGAAAACCTATTATGAACATGACATGGAGCTACAGCATTTAAAAATTAAAAAAAAGGAAAAATTTGGACACATAATTTCCCGAATTTTTAATAAAGCCCTTTTTAAACGTAGCATAATAATCTAGAGCAATTAGATTAATTATAGGAATCTAGAGTTTTATTTCTATTTAATTTTATTGACTATGAAAATACATAATAAGCGTTCACGTGTTGTGCGAAATATTAAAATAATAATATAAATCCTTGGTATAAATAATATACCGCGTACTATGATTGAAAAAAAAATTGCGTCAGCGATGACTATGAAATGAAGATCGCTGTCATTTTATATGGGAAATGTCCTCAATCGTCATTTCCCAGCCAACTGGACGCCGTTTTTTCGATCATACGGTATATATTGACAAAAAACAATGAAAAGCTCATATTTGTTTTCTACTGAAAATAATTCCAAAATAACTTACCATCTGGCAACATCGAAGATGTGCGCATGCGTAGTGTCTGTGACTATATGCAGCAGAAACTCGTTACAAGGTCAGCCACCGGATCCACACCATTACCAACTAGAAAAAAGTACCACCGCCTTATAGCTTAAAAAAGGTGATTTGTACCAAGTGTACACGTAAAAAACATTTTTTACGTAATTTTGTTACTCGTTCCATCCATGCCCCAAAATAACTTGACAGATGTGTACCATAGAATAGTATTTTATACTGCTAACGGCGCTAACTTCACATTCGACACGTTCATGCTGTATTTCAGAGTTATCTGTGGTATTTCTGTGTTTATTGCGGGAAGCGTTGTGATGTGTTATATTATTAATCTATTTATTTAATGTTTAAATAAGCTAAAAACTAGTTAATTTGTGAAAAAGAGTATCAAAGACACCCTTACTATATGTAATCAAGAGTTGAAACTTTCTTAATGTAGTGAATTGTGGTTAGAACTTTCGTTTTACTCGTGGTTGTGCAGCCCTTCCTAACAATTTCTATAAAAGGTTTTTTTAGAACTCGGTTTGTTTAATAATATGATGCCCATAGCTGGGACCGTGCCTCCGGTTCATAGCTCGGCAAATATGTCTCAAAACACTTCACAAAGCAACAACTCCCTTACTCCAACCAGTGGTTCTAATAAATCCAGCAGTAATGTGGTAAGTATATGCATAGATTTGAAGAAAGCAATTGATTTATTAATATTCATATGTAGAAACCGAATTATGCACTAAAGTTTACCCTTGCGGGACACACCAAGGCAGTTTCTTCAGTTAAATTCAGTCCCAATGGAGAATGGCTTGCGAGTTCCTGTAAGTTTCAATCATATGTTTAAATTTTACATTTATAAGTGAAACTGACCTATATTTTTATTCAATTTTCAGCTGCAGATAAGCTCATAAAAATTTGGGGAGCTTATGATGGCAAATTTGAAAAAACTATAAGTGGACATAAGTTAGGTATTAGTGATGTAGCATGGTCGAGTGACAGTCGACTTTTAGGTAAATATATTGTTTTAATTATTTCAATAAGTATTAGAGTTAAAATAGTTTAAAATGTCAATGATTGAATTCAAGTTTGTGTTGATTTGATTCTCATTTTCATTGTGAAAATACTCTGAAACAGTTAGAATAATGTTTTGAGATTCTTCACTAAACGTTTTATAAGAAACATTATTTGCAAGTTGTGCTTTATTTGCACAAAGTTGAATTTCCAATGAAAACTAAAATATCTCTGCCTCTACCTGTAATGTAGGTACTAATATTTTATCTGCAAAAGGTTCTATCTCTTTAATTTTATATACCAATTCATTGTATATTATCCAAAATCCTTAATTTTAGTGTCAGCAAGTGATGACAAAACATTAAAAATATGGGAACTTGTGTCCGGCAAATGTCTGAAGACTCTAAAGGGGCACAGCAATTATGTTTTCTGTTGTAACTTTAATCCCCAGTCAAACCTGATTGTTTCTGGCTCTTTCGATGAATCAGTAAGAATATGGGATGTGCGTACTGGTAAATGTTTGAAAACATTACCCGCCCATTCTGATCCTGTCAGTGCTGTGCACTTCAACAGGGATGGTTCGTTGATCGTAAGCAGCAGCTACGATGGTCTATGGTAAGTGGGAGTTTATCAGGTTGACCATTGTTGCAAAAAACCTATGAATTACCTACCCTATGAAAATAATTTTAAAATGTGCAGCGTTTTAAGCTTTTTTTATAACACTGGATCGTCCACTATAAGAAACCATGTACTTTATGATTTATTATTTGTACATTTTAGTCGAATATGGGACACTGCTTCTGGCCAGTGTTTAAAAACACTAATCGACGATGACAATCCTCCAGTCTCCTTTGTTAAGTTCTCGCCCAATGGCAAATATATCCTAGCAGCCACTTTGGATAACACTTTGAAGTTGTGGGATTACGCAAAGGGGAAATGTTTGAAAACTTATCAAGGCCATAAAAACGAGAAATATTGCATTTTTGCGAATTTTTCAGTCACTGGCGGTAAATGGATTGTGAGTGGGTCCGAGGATAACATGGTTTATATTTGGAACCTCCAGACGAAAGAAATTGTACAAAAACTTCAGGGGCATACTGGTAAGTGACTTAAAAGTCTAAAATCTAAAGTTCAAATAAAAATAAGTTTTGTATAAAAATTAGAGTTGAGCAACAAATCGCAAACTGCGATTAAGGGCTCAAACACACTGACGACCAGGTCGCACCGGCCAGGCTGCTGCTACCTCTAAAACCATTAAATCAAATGATACCGCGTACACTAACGTCCTAGCCGTCCGTTGGTCGTTGCGACCAGTAGACTGCACTAAAATATTATAATTTTCTGCCGCTTGTTGCCGGTTTTCTTCCAAATTAATAATTTTTCAGATGAAATCCCTCAAATTCAACGCACAATATTTTATTTTCTATAAAATATAGTGTTTTAGTGTAGTTTTTTTGAGCCGTCAGTGTTTGAGCCCATAGGGCTCTAACTCACTGAAGGCCGGATGTATTGCGTTTATAGCTGCGGCCAGATGAACGACCAGTTTCAACAGAGTTGTCAGATCTAACGATTTTTTACGTTTTACCAATTAGAAAATATTGTTTCAGAAAGAATTAAGTTTCAGAAATGTTAAAATATCTGAGTTAACTAAAAAGCCAAGTTGCTATTCATGAGTTTATTAAATGTTCTAATATTAAATAATGAATTTAAAATATTCTTGGATTTTTCTTTAATAAATACTAGTGTGGTAAATGGAGTAAGTCAAATCTCCAACCTCGACTATACGATAACGTCGTTATTTCCATGTTTTTCAACTCCGCGATGCCTGCTATTCCATCAGTCGTTTCATAACAGAATATTCTACATCCTACGTCTATGTAATTTAATATCTGTAGAGTGAGACATGTAACTCGTGAGATTTTCAGCATTATATCAATAAAGCACAAAAACAGTATTGTTCCTAAAGGTGCGTCCAGACTTGAGCATTTTAGCCCGAACGAACCCAGCGCGCACGAACAAGCAGAACAAATAGGCTGAACTAAAAGCATTGTGTACGCGCGACCGACAAAAAGGGAGATATTCTGTCTCTTTTTTCTACTTATATGGACTTCTACTGATGGCTCTTATCGACTTTAGAAGTAAACATATTAGGGCCATCGTAAAAAAAGTTTAGCTTCCAGTTATTTCAATGTTTACAATATAAATTCCTCTTTTATTGTTACTGAGAATCTACAACAGTAAATACTTCTATTTTTATGAATGTTTAAGTTACTTTTACTCTTAATTTTTTTTAAAATAATATACCTAGTAGAAATATAGTCTAACGGGCCCTGTTTGAAAAACGTTAAATTAAATATAATATTTAAAATACAGTTGTCCTCCTTGTACATGACTACAATACAACTAAAAAAAATAATTTAATAAAATAAAACAAGTGGTTGTAGAAAAACTTTAAATATGATTTTTTTTTATTATTTAACATCGAAACTCGAAGGTATAATAACAGGTATCATACCAACCATAAATAGAGTATGTCATATAAAAATGTTTTGAATTTTTACTAGAATCGACCCCTGATAAACTTCTATCTGCGAGTGTGAATTTTTAGGATTTGCAATTTACGATTTTGTTGCGAATGTAATTTTGTGGTCATTGAAGCATTTTATAGTAAACTGCGGTATAACAGTATTTTCTAGGGCCAGGATCATAATATACCGGGTGTTTCTCAAGAGTGGTTCGCCTCTATAACTCCTTTGTTTTTTCTGATTAAAACGAGATTTGGTATGTAAGCATATGATATAAATTGACATTGATTGACGTATTCAAGTCGTTTCGATCACTTCCTGTTTCACCGGAAATGACTACAACTTTTGATTTTTAAGTGGCAACCTCGGTAGTTTTTAAGTTTATTTAATAGAAAATGACACTCTAAATAGAATGCCTAGTACAATATATAAATATTAAAACCGCAATCGCAGGTTATAGTCGCAGCGATTTAAAAATAGCAATCGGGGTTTTAATTGCTACTAGAGATTCGCATTTTTGCTCATCTCTAATAAAAGTCCACTTAATAGTTGTATAAAACATATATTTTTTTTTAGTTGTAGTCTTAAGCCGGGCTCTAACGACTCGTGTACTTGGCAAACATTTGTTATTGGCATACAAGGTCCAGCGATAGAGCGTCGGACATCTGTAGCTTCTATAATAAATTTAGAAATTTTGTATAAATGCAAACTTAAAGTATGGAATGCATAGTTTTAATTTCAGGACATTTGTTGTATTTAAAAAAAAAATTAAAAATGTTGAAATTTTTTTTTATTTATTTATGAATATCTCTGAAACTATCAAAACATATTTAATAATATCTTTGGATTAAGTAAAGTGATCAGAAAGAACGCCAAAAATGCAATAATAGAGAGTGTATACCATTTAAAAAGATCATCCTGATCCACTCACACATTTTTGAGCCACCCTGTAGAAGTTAAAATATTTAGGTTTACACTTATACAAAATTTCTAAATTGTTTATTGTAGGAGCTACAAATGCCCGACGCACTATTGCCGGATCCTGTATACCTATAACAAATGATTACAAAACACGAGGCGTCTGAATCTGGATTTCTTGAGTATAAAATTTATAAATGTATTTTTTTTTAATTTCCAGATGTTGTACTTTGTACTACTTGCCATCCTACCGAAAATATAATTGCTTCTGCCGCATTAGAAAACGACAAAACTATAAAACTTTGGAAAAGCGATACTTAGATTAATTTACTTTTAATAAGAATATTTTTATACTACTTGTACAGTTTTTTGTTTTCCTTTAATTTAAAGCTAGAATTTAGGTACTTTGAATTGCATCTAACATGTGAATTTTAACATAACTTTTTTCCTTGTAATGAATAGATTTTTTCATTAATTTTTAAGTATTTTTATATAGAAATTTCCACACAATTTCAAACATCTTCATGTCAACTGAAATAAAATTGACTTCTAAATAAAATATTTAGTTTGGATTAATATTAAGAGACTTATAAAACTATTTCTCTTTTTCAATATAATGATATTAACATCATTTGTTACCATTGTAAATATTTATTTTAGAAATATTCAAATATTTCATATTTTTACTTAAATAAGCAATTTTTCATCTATAAAAAAAAGTGTTCATATTTTCTACATTCTACAACTCATCGTATTATCCTTTATATTGCATTCTAAATTATTATATTGCAATTTAATTTAAATATGATGATTTTTTTAAAACAAGCGTTTATAATATCCTTGTATGATAATATTATAAAATAATTTTATGCTAAAAGTGGGTCATCCTGTAAAAAAGAAAGTGCAATACTCCATAGCATATCTCTGACGATACAATACCGTGTACCGTATCCCTAAAGCCTCGTTCTCAAGCCCCGTTCTCAGAACAACGTCGTGTCGCGGGCGACACGACAAAAGAACCAATCAGATTTGTACAAAATTCAAACAACTGTCAATTTTAAATTTAGTACAGCTCCCATTGGTTGTTTGAAATGTCAAACTGTGTCGCCCGCGACACGACGTTGTTCTGAGAACGGGGCTTCAGAACTGCGTCGTGTCGACAGCGACACTGATTGACACTTCAAACGACCAATGGGAGCTGTACTAAATTTAAAATTGACAGCTGTTTGAATTTTGTACAAATCTGATTGGTTCTTTTGTCGTGTCGCTGGCGACAGTCGCAGTTCTGAGTTCTCAGAACTGCCCCGTTCTCAGAACTGCGTCGTGTCGACAGCGACACTGATTGACACTTCAAACGACCAATGGGAGCTGTACTAAATTTAAAATTGACAGCTGTTTGAATTTTGTACAAATCTCATTGGTCCTTTTGACGTGTCGCCCGCGACACGACGTCGTTCTGAGAACGGGGCTTATGGTGGGTTCATACAGCCAAATAAAATAAAATAAGAATAAAATAAAATAAGAAATAAGGAATTCTTATTTGTGTGCGTTCATACAGTCAAATAAAATAAAATAAGAAATATATATTTGCTCATGCGCAGTACGATGAGGCTGGATAAAAGTTAACTTTTACGATTGTTTATAGTAAGTCAAATCTCCAACCCCGACTATACGATAACGTCGTTATTTCCATGTTTTTCAAATCTGCGATGCCTGCTATTCCATCAGTCGTTTCATACAGAATATTCTACATCCTACGTCTGTAGAGTGAGACATGTAACTCGTGAGATTTTCAGCATTATATCAATAAAGGATAAAAACAGTGTTGTTCCTAAAGATGCGTCCAGACTTGAGCATTTTAGCCTGAACGAACCGAGCGCGCACGAACAAGCAGAACAAATAGGCCAAACAAAAAGCATTGTGCTTTATTGTTCGACATCTGCCAATGGATTTAGGACAACAAGCAACAATTTCTCTTAGAAGGGCTAAGTCGTCATCTGCTGTAAACAAACCTAAGACTCTTTATAGGTTCTTTAGTATTGGAAGTGATGGAATCCGTATTTTGGGCCATATTTATTTAATTAAAACTAATCCCAGCTACTTAAATATCAAATTACCTAATAAAACGGAAGCAATAATTCAAAACAATTCAAACATAACCTAAAATAAAAGATCTCGCCGGCCGGCTCCGGTTGTCAAATACCCGCACATGCCCATTTAAGCAATTTTTAAACGTTATTCCGAAAATTGGAACCACGAAAAACAATAAAGAAAAAACAAAGATTATAATCTGTATAATCTGTGGTATTATTTTCTACGGCCAAGATCATAATATACCGGGTGTTTTTCAAGAGTGGTTCGCCTCTATAACTCTTTTGTTTTTTTATGATTAAAACGAGATTTGGTATGTAAGCATATGGTATAAATTGGCATTGATTGACGTATTCAGTTCGTTTCGATCACTTCCTGTTTCGCCGGAAATGACTGCAACTTTTGATTTTTAAATGGCACCCTCGGTATTTTTGACTTTATTCGATAGAAAATTACACTTTGAATTGAATGTCATATCATACGTCAACTTTTGACATTTTCGAATATGGTTTATTTGAAATTGTAACATGCGGTTCAGAACGACAATTTGACTCAAAACACACCAAGTCTGTGGTACCAAATTATTCGTAAAAATACCTTTTCCAAATTATGCTAATGAGCCATCATTTGTTCCATTTGAAAAAATTGTGATATCATTAAAAATACGATTTGGGCATCTTTTAACCGGTCACGACAAAGGTAATTTTAAGTTTATTCCATAGAAAATGACACTCTGAATAGAATGTCTAGTACAATATTTAAATATTAAAATCGCAATCGCAGGTTACAGTCGCAGCGATTTAAAAATCACAATAATTGCTACTGGAGAATTGCAGTTTGCTCATCTCTAATAAAAGTCCACTTAATAGTAGCAAAATATATATATACAGGGTGGTCCGAACTGTATTCCGGAAACTTCGGCGGCATATTCTGTAGATAAAAATAAGTAAAAAGTTCGTATAAATGTATGTTCTAAAGTGCTGAATTTCGGAGATACAGGGTGTGGAAGTTTAATTTTTATTTCGATTTTTTCCAAATAATTTCTGAAGTAACGTCAATATTCGGATCAAAATTGGTATCTGGTAGTTTTTTGATGAGGAGAATTTGATTTTGATGTCATTATGACTTCTATTTCTAGAGGGCGCCACCTACATGTGTTTTAACTGTTTTAAAGAATAATAACTTTTTGTCCGTACCTGTATAGAATTACTAAATAAAAAAATATACATTTTCGTAATTTTTATGTAAAAATGTCTCTTGGTAAAATCGTTAAGAGCAACCCTTTCGAGATATTTAGAAGGGAACTAGTCAATACATGTCATTATTGACAGAAAATAAACAATGTTTAGTAGATAGTTATTTGATTGAAATGATAATTTTGGGAAATTTTTTATTTTTTTAAATTAATCATAAAATTTTCTTCGAAAATTTGATGATTGATGATGATTTGGTACAAAAACGTTTCAAATTTATGATTTCAGTCTATTAACTATTTAGTCAGCATGTTTAATTTATGCCAATGATGGCATGTATTGATAATTGCGGGATTTCAAATATCTCGAGAAGTATTACTCATGCGATTTTTATTAAGAGACCTTTTGCGTTAAAAACGTCGTAAATGTATATTTTTACTAATAGTGTTATACAGATACGAACGAAAAGTTATGACTCTTCAAACCAATTAAATATATGTAGATGGCGCCCTCTACAAGTAGGGGTCATATTGACATCAAAATCAAATTTCTATCAAAAACTCCCAGACACCAAATTTCATCCAAATATTGACGTTACTTCAGAAGTTATTTGGAAAAAATCGAAATAAACATTAACTTCCACACCCTGTATCTCCGAAAAATAAGCATTTTAGGACATACATTTATAAGAACTTTCCTACTTATTTTTATCTGCAGAATATGCTGCCGAAGTTTCGAATATAATTCGACCACCCTGTATATATATACAGGGTGCTACAAATTCGAGGTACGAGCATTGGTATCTCGGAAACCGTAATAGATACGAAGATGGTTAAATTAGGGCAAAGTTGCGCCTTGAGATGTTTACCAAGATGCCATCAAAAAGTTTTAAAAAAGTTGAAGGATTGCTGAGTTTTTTTTTGAAAAAACGAATTTTTGGAAAAATCAATTTTGTTTTTTCCTGTCGTTACTTTTTAGAAAATCAAAAAATAACTACACATTCTGATTCTCAATCTCGTACTCAGGAGACCGAGTTCTTTCAAAATCTAAAATAAAAAATGCAGGTCCGTATTTAAAAAAAAAATTACGTTGGCCTCTGTATCTCACAAATTATCAGCTAATTTAAAATCTAAAAATACTACCAGATAACCCTAATAAAGTGGCAATGAGAATGTGCAATTAGTTTTTAATTTCCTAAAAAGCAACGCCAGGAAAAATAAAATTGATTTTCAAAAATCCGTTTTTTCAAAAAACTCAGCAATCCTTGAAATTTTTAAAACTTTTTTTGGTGGCATCTTTGTGAACATCCTAAAGCGCAACTTTGCCCCAATTTAACCCTGTTTGTATCTATTACGGTTACCGAGATACCAATGCTCGTACCTCGAATTTGTAGCACCCTGTATATATATTTTAATTGTAGTCTTAAGCCGGGCTCTAGCGACTCGTTTACTTGGCAAACATTTGATATTGGCATACAAGGTCCAGCGATAGAGCGTCGGACATCTGTAGCTTCTATAATAAACAACATAGAAATTTTTTATAAATGCAAACTTAAAGTATGTAATGTATAATATGGAATGCATAGTTTTCATTTCAGGACATTTGTTGTATTTTTAACAATTTTTTTAAAAATGTTGAAAAAAAGTATTTTTTAATTTATTTATGAATATCTCTGAGACTATCAAAACATATTTAATAATATCTGGATTATGAAAAGTGATCAGAAAAGACGTCAAAATGCAATAATATAGAGTGTATACCATTTAAAAAAATCATCCTGATCCACTCACACATTTTGAGCCACCCTGTAGAAGTTAAAATATTTTCCTGAAATACATCTTAATACATACTTTAGGTTTTGCACTTATACAAAATTTCTAAGTTGTTTATTATAGGAGGTACAAATGCCCGACGCACTATTGCAGGCTCCTGTATGCCAATAACAAATGTTTGCCAAGTACACGAAAGGGTCTGAATCTGGATTTCTTAGTATAAAATTTATAAATGCAATTTTTTTAATTTCAGATGTTGTACTTTTGTACTACTTGCCATCCTACCGAAAATATAATTGCTTCTGCCGCATTAGAAAAACGACAAAACTATAAAACTTTGGAAAAGCGATACTTAGATTAATTTACTTTTAATAAGAATATTTTATACTACTTGTACAGTTTTTGTTTTCCTTTAATTTAAAGCTAGAATTTAGGTACTTTGAATTGCATCTAACATGTGAATTTTAACATAACTTTTTCCTTGTAATGAATAGATTTTTTCATTAATTTTTAAGTATTTTTATATAGAAATTTCCACACAATTTCAAACATCTTCATGTCAACTGAAATAAAATTGACTTCTAAATAAAATATTTAGTTTGGATTAATATTAAGAGACTTATAAAACTATTTCTCTTTTTCAATATAATGATATTAACATCATTTGTTACCATTGTAAATATTTATTTTAGAAATATTCAAATATTTCATATTTTTACTTAAATAAGCAATTTTTCATCTATAAAAAAAAGTGTTCGTATTTTCTACATCTCTACAACTCATCGTATTATCCTGGTTAAAAACAACAAGACACGACGTATGACGGATTTATATTTAAACCCATCCATAGATAACTTAAAAATTATTAGAAACTTTTTTTAGTAAAATAAATAGATTGGTATGGGACGTCATCTGCTTTTCTTCTGTCATCGTCTGTCGAAATCTTACCTGAGAAAAAAAACAGAGTATATTCTTATTTTATTTTATTTGGCTGTATGAACCCACCATAAGCCGTGTCCAATATTGTTCTTTTTTTACCTAGTTTCAAATTGCAGACACATCCCTAAATCGTATATAAATTATATATGATTTGGGGGCTGTTACATTCATATTAATTATGATTTAAACTAGTCGAGTTAGCCAAAAGACTAAATACTTAACGCCATAAGAAAAGTTAAAAGAAGAGTCTTCTTCCTTTCAGTTTGTAGGTTAAAACTCCCAGAACTGTACAGCCAGTAAATCTTTAATTTGTGGTTTTCGGATAGCCCTGACAGCTGTGACCCTCCAAAAGGCTACTAAATTCACGAGCTGTATCGTCCTGGTAAATAAGACCAAGAACTAGCTAAAGAAGAATTATCTAGGATGCTTGTTTACTTTTTAAAAAAATAAAAATGAAACGTAATATCCACAGTTTTTAATAAATAAGACATGAACTTATCAGAATATCGAATATATGATGCTCCCAATTCAATTTTTTACATTCCAAACTTTATCTCGCAATCAGAGGAAGAATATATTTTAAAATGTGTTTATTCAGTGCCTAAGCCCAAATGGACTTACCTTGTTAACAGAAGGCTACAGGATTATGGCGGTGTGCCCCACAGTAAAGGAATGATACCCGAACATATTCCCACCTGGTTACAAAAATTCGTAGACAAAGTTTCAAGTACAAACATCTTTGAGGGTTGTAAACCCAATCAAATACTTGTTAATGAATATTTACCTGGTCAAGGAATTATGCCACACACAGATGGACCACTATTTCATCCAATTGTAACAACCATTAGTTGTGGTTCACATACAGTTCTTGAATTTTTAGAAAACAGCGAAAAAAGAGAAAAAGTCTGCAGTGTACTTTTGGAGCCTTGTAGCTTAGTTGTGGTTAAAGATAACATGTATACAAAATACCTACATTCCATAAAAGAAGTTAAGTGTGATATTACATCAGACTGTGTTAATTTAAATCAGTGTTCTAAAGAATACCAAACAAACGATCCCATAGAGAGAAAAACAAGGGTTTCATTAACAATTCGAAATGTACCAAAAGTTTTAAAAATAAAGTTATTTTGATATGGTTTAATCCTATATTTTCTATAACAGTCCTTTTAAAATAAATACCATTATTCTCTAGCTTTCAATTTGATGAATTAATAAAATAGGTTTACAGTAAGACTATTTTACTTTCCATATTTTTTTAAGGACTCTCGTATCATCTTTACAGTTTCTGGATCATCTGTATATATTTTTTTACTTTCTTCATGAATATCGCCTAACCACAAGTCTCTAGAGTAAAAATAAGAAAAATATTTATCAATATCTAAAATTTGCCTACTATTCTCACCTACTGAAAAAGCCCATACCTAATACACCAACAATACCAATAAATACTAAAGGGAAACTGTATGTCCAAGCCATCTTATTTAATATAAAAAATTTTAAAAATCTTGGAATATTTAGATTAAACTTATAAAATTATTCCATTTTTTTAACTAAAAATCTTTGAATAAGAAGCTAAAAATGAACATTTTTAGGTTAATTTATATTAAGTCTGGTCAAAAATATCGATATTTATTTTTTTAATTATCGATATTTAAATTTAGCTATCAATAATATAAATATTATCCTTGTTATTATCACAGTATTTAGTGATGAAAGTTTACGCTACTGTTTTTTTTTTAATTTTGGTGTTCTTATAAAATACAGTATAAGAAAACTTAAGAAACTAATCAGACCATTAAAAGTAGCTAATTTCATGGGAAAATAAATATTAATATTGGATTTTTTAAATGTCTTCCGCAGAATGCAGAGTAAATTTTAGTAAATTTTACAATTTCTTACTGTTTTTTTTAATTGTAAGACTGATATTTTATTGTGTATAATCAATAAAGATTAAAACACATTTAACTTTTTGACTAGTAAAAATCTTAGATTAACAATAAAAAGTTGTTATCGGTCTCTGTTTCTTATTATTATTAATATGATATGTACAATATTAATAATAATAAGAAACAGAGACCGATAACAAAGTAAAAATCATCGGAGAATTTTTTTGTATTACCACAAAACTATATGCCTAAAAAACTAATCCCAAAAAGTTTTATGAGCCAATAGCCTTTATTAATGTAATTCATATTTAGAATTCCAGGATTTATAGGTCAATCTTCCTTTATATCGTTAGAAATTACAGATCTTTCCTAATTTTACTTGAATACGAAAGCAACTGAATCTAGAGCTAGATCGATAATTTTATATATCGATAACAATCGTACATCCTTATTTGGTACCAACATTTGTAGGCAGCTAAAGCCGATAAATCGATAAGAAGAAGACCGCATCAATCAATTCCCACGTTACCATGACGACCGCGTCAGCGCACACCTCGACGCGCACCCTTTACTTCACCCCGTCCTTGGATAACGGTGGATTTCGCCATAAATTGGCGTCGGGGGGTCGTCTTTAGAGGGGCGGCGGTGTGTGGTGTCCAGACGCTTGTAGCGTCGCTTCCACAGAAAGCCCATGGTGCTTCGCCCCCGACATGGGCCAAGCTGAGAGCAGAGACGAGGGTGCCAACGAAGACGACCCGGAGAAATGCGACTCCAGAAGGGATTCAGACAATTTGGTGAGTCTTTACGTGATTATTATTACATTTTGGGAGGGTTGCTTTTACTTACCAAATGGCTGTTTGGTGTTTTTACTACCTTTAACTGTATTATTGACGATATATTTGATCAGGGGAGAAATTAAATGTTAATGTTAAATATAGAAACAAACTTACCAAATATGCCACTTTTTAAGATATAAAATCATGTTTGGACAGTATCTATATCATTTTTACACTGTCATTAAAAGATACAATTAAATAACTGGTAGTTAGGTAACAGAGCTTGCCTGCCCCATTTGATTAAACTTACTATTTCAGTTTTAATCAAACATAATCAATCAGCTTATAAGTAAAATATTGTCAGCTGACTGCTGTCATTAGTCCCTAAATTAATTAATAATAATTATATAGGTATCATAAAAAGGAACCTATTTTTATATAAATGCTTTGATAACTTATATGTATGCATGTATGTTCTAGAAATATTTATTTATGTCTAGAGATTATTATGTACTTATATTGTCTATTTTTATATCGATACAAGTTATTTTTATATGATTCCTTTGATGTTTCCTTAGATTATATTGCAGCTGAGGATGTTTCTCATCACTTTTATTCTGATGAAACTGATGGGAAAAGTTTGTATTTTATCGACCTTACTGCAGCTTTTTGAGTATGAAAAGAATGATTTCATGTTGGTCATAAAAGGGTTTTAGTTATTCATGCAAAATAAGGGCAAGGAACTATCGTGTAAAAGAAAGGGATGAATATAAAGATAAAAGCAATTGAAAATGGATAATATTACAGAGGATTTTATTTTATCTTATAGGAGAACCAACTTTAAATTAATATAAAATATATATATCTTTTAAATATGTATTATAAAAAATATTTTATTTTATAAAGGATATACTCTAGTCCACACAGTTCAGTATTTTGGTGGCTAGACCAATGAGTTCATCAATGGATTACATGGTGTTTTCAGGGAATTATTATTCATAACACCATCTGTCTGAGTTAATCAATTAATAAATTGTTTATTACAAAATGGAATTAATTTTTAACGGCCTCATACGAGATAACACCGAACGGGAGACAGATTATTACCAATTGTTTATAAAATATCGACAATATAAAATTTATATAAAAACAATGTATTGTACCGAGGCTAAAGATCAAACAAAGAATAGTATCTTTTCCGCATACTGTTAGTATGGATTGACTCATTTCTATATAGGGTAAAAACAACAAAACTGCGAAATTTTTAGAATGAAAATTTTAGTTTTAGGTGGTCATTTTTATATCTACTAGTGAACGTTAATATTCGCAAAATTTATGTGTTTTGACATTGTCAATTATTAAATTATACCTAGATTTTATCAAATAATAAAGATCTACTTAGGCAAAATCATAAAAATGAAAATATCTAGGAACATCTTTGTTTGAGGCGTAGGCAACCTTATAGTATTTTAAAGATATATGAATTCTTCATTGAATACCGATATAATATAATGCGTGTTCCATTTAAAATAAAGGAGTTACTTGCTTTTAAGAGTGACCAATGTTCAGTATAAATTTTGTCTCACCCTGTATAACTTTTCGAGACAAATTTTAATTTGGTTTAATATACGATGGTTATTGTAATTAAATATCAGACTATACATGGTATTTTACAATTTAGGTAGCTGTTATTGAAATTTAAAACTTATGCTTCATTTTCACGAAATGTGAAATATGTCAAAATCCTTACAATTAAGCACATGCTTGTTTAATAAAATTCACCTTTATTTTTTTACTAGAATCCGAAAATTAATTAATATAAATGGTGTTCTAAAAAAAACAACTTTGATGCGTAACTTTTTTTGGGGACACCCTGCAGAACTCTATATTTTTACAAAATGCTGTCATTAACCTACATAATGCTCCGAAAATTTCATTTTGATATAAACTCCCGTTCTCCTTGGAGCCTCCGCGTCGTATGAGAGGCGCCACCCTGTATGTAAAATTATATGGGGAATGTCGTCTGATCGAAAACACTTGGTATTTTGCGTCATATTGTCGTTATGAACCGCAGGTTATAATTTCAAATAAACCATATGCGAAAATGTCAAAAGTTGATGATAGGTATGTCATTCGATTCAGAGTGTGATTTTCTATCGAATAAAGTAAAAAAATACCGAGGGTACCATTTAAAAATCAAAAGTTGTAGTAATTTCCGGTGAAACAGGAAGTGACCGAAAACAATTATTGAATACGTCAATCAATCCTAATTTATGTCATATACTAACATACCAAATCTCGTTTATTTGCCTGATAAAATAAAAAAGTTATAGGGGGTGAGCCACTTTTGAGACGCACCCGGTATAAGTTATAAGACCAAATATAGGTTTTAGAAACGATTACCTACTATTAAAAAATAAAATATTACTTATACAGTACTAAAATTTGGCCCACTCTGTGCAAGGCTTTGTTAAATTGTAAGGAAGTCGTTTACTACAAAGAGAATGATACATGTCGAGAATCATTTATGTTTTATATACAATTTCAAGGAATGTTTTGAAACGAAATTACAATTATTTATCTAGTTTTAAAACATTTATTTGTAATAAGTATGTCACTGCTTTTTACACATCTATTAACAATGATTCGCATGTTTTATTTATACATTTCACATATAATACATTATGTACATATTTGGAAATTAATGATATGCTATCATAAATTTGATGATAACCTTTTTTTAGAACACAGCATTATTATCAATAAGTTTGTTCTTGTTTTATTTAAAAAATTCAAATAAGATGTAGAAAAATATATTTTTTCTCTTTATTTTTTCATACCTATACATGGTGGTTCATTTTTAGTAGCAAGCCATAAAAACTTATTTTAAGAAAAACATTTCATAGCAACATAGGTTCAGAAATGGTTCGTTTTGAAAATACAGGGTGTTCAAATTTTTATAAACAAGATCACTTTTTGACATTATTCATAGTATCTTCTATAGTGCAAGAAAATAGGCCTTCAAGTATGAAGTTTTGGCAAAAACTTAAATTTTTGATATAAGTTATTTTGAAAGATCTAAAAACGAATTGCGAAAGGTTTTTTTTAATTCGCCCCCGAGAAGAGATGAAATAAATAAATAAAATTATTTTTTCGAAATTTCGGAGAAACGGTAAGGGCTAGAAAAAAAAAGTTCAAATAAAAATTGTAGGGCGTCCAATTTAAAATTAACCGAGATAGGGTGACTAGAAGGTGGGGGACAGCTTTTATTGAAACATTTTTTTCAAAGTCCTTACAGTTTCTCCGAAAAAATTTTGAATGAAAAAAAAAACTATTTATATTTTCACCCCGAGAAGGTATGATTCTATTCAATATTCAAATTCTATTAAGTCATGCTAAAATAAAGTTGACCACCCTGTACAGTACGAACGATATTGAAAACAAAAATTAAAAATAGCACTTACATATTATTTTTAAAA